GAAATGAATCCTATAATTTAGAAAAGTGAATTTTAAAAAAAAATCCCATAATTATACAAGTGATTCCATAGACAGCAGCGCTAAAAAAAGAACATGGTTCAAGCTGGAGATAAGGCTTATAAATTTCTTTTATAGTCTAATAAAATTTTTAAAAAATGTTTTTAGTGCCAAGAAACAAAACGGTGATGAAACTTCAGTGGTTATATCTGGCATTCTCCAAGGAGTTCAAATACAAATTATTGCATGCAAAAATGAGTACATAACTAAGGATGAATAAAGAAAACTAACACAAAACAGTAAGAAGAAGGTGAGGAATTTCAAAATGAGCTGAAGCTAAGCTACATTCAGATCCTAGTTATTTGACCAGAACATTTACCTACAGAAAGGAATGTTTCAAAAACAAGTTAGGTGACAATATACAACCAAAACAGTATCATAGATGAAAAACAAAAGTATTTACAGGTAAGTACAGTTACCATATTTTTGCATTGAGTCTCAGTTGAAAAAACAAAAGTAAATTTTTAATAATCGAAATGAAAAAGTAAGTATATTGCCTTTTCTGGTTACATAATTATAACTCAAACAATCTTGTGGTGAATCATTACAGCAATGCAGTATACCGGAGTGTGATGGCTCTTGCTACAGGATCATTACTATGAATCACAGAGAAAATTCTCTTCACAAATTCATCCACATTTAGAATCTTCTCCAAATGCTTCTCACTTTGTTGAGTAACTTTAAGAACACAGAGCCTCAGGAAATTGTTTCTACGAAAAACCAGGGATAGAATAAATTAGGCCACTTTAGGAAAGTAATATTTAATTAGGAATCAAAATTACACTATTAATATTAAATTGTAGCAACAGGGAAATGTTTTTCAATCTTATTATTTGTGTCCTCATTAGGAGTTAAAATCTATAGTACTTTAGGTGGGCATTCAGCATAAGCAGTTAGCAATGCCTGCAGTCCTGCTGCCAGACACCAAAATGGCAAGGACACAAGGAGAAGCCCTGAAGCAGAACTGAATCTCATCATATTATAACCAAGGCCAAGAGGTCAGATGGTCTTCCTCCCCTCTAGAGCTAGTTCTACAACATCTTTTCCCCTTCAAGTCTGATTTGGTGTGTGCATAAGCACATGAGAGCTTGGAGAATGCTAGAAAGAAATGGGAGAAAGGCCGGTGGGGAAAAAAAATAAATGGGTTTTTTAAGTCAGTGCTTACATGCTTCAGGCACTTCGCAATAACATGTTAGCTCATGTTATAAAATAAGCTATTAAATCCAAAACTGCTCAGAACAATCAGTACAAAGCCACAGGTATTTCCAAAACATACCGTATCTAATAAAGAGGGAATATGCTAATTGACCCTCACGCCATCACAAAATGGCGGCGCCCAGCCAATAAGGAGGGAATATGCTAATTGACTGCCACGCCCTCAAAGATGGTGCCCAGTCTCCTCAGCCCCGCCAGGGCACCTGCCTCTAGAGTCCCCCAGTCCCCTCAGCCCCCCAGCCGCCCAGGGCTGGCCCGAGGTGCAGGCAAGCCTCGGATGCTAGCTGCCCAGCCGCCCAGGATCGCCCGAGGCTCAGGTAACCAGGGCCGGCCGAAGCTTGCGCTGCTTGAGTGGCAGCGGCAGAGGTGTGAATGGGCGTCGCCTTCCCCTGATCGCCAGGTCACCTCCCGCCCCTGAGGGCTCCCAGACTGTGAGAGGGGGCAGGCCGGGCTGAGGGACGCCCCCTCCAGTGCATGAATTTTCATGCACCGGGCTTCTAGTACTAATATATCAAGGTTGCCTTAATTTGATTTATCCTATTACACAAAGAAATAAGTACTCTCTAATTTATACTCTTCATTTTTGCTTAAAACACCACTAATCTCCCACCAAAAGGTATTAGATACTCTGTGTCCATTAAAATGGTAACCAACCATATGGAAGTTCTAAAAGTCAAAAAGAATAAAGACCACAATATAAAACAGAGATATGAACAAAGTGCTTTAGGACACCAAGGCTTTCAAAAGACTTACCCAACTCTGAAAACATCAGCTAACTTTAGGAATGCAGAATTGATGAGAATAGGGAATGGATACTTCTGAAAGAGCCTGGGAAAGCGAACAACTGCTTCACATTGTTCACCAAGTTTGCCAGATCTTAGACCTATGAAAAACATAAGAAGACAACAGCTTACACTCTTGTGGCTACAATAAGGCAAAAATAGCAAATGTCTTTAGAATTGGTAAGAATATTATATATCTGGACCTGCAACTCTCCCTGGGGAATAAGCATGGAATTATCAGAACGGGGAGGAAAAGATTATGTCGTTTTTATTTATTTATTTTTTTTAGTAAGAAAACATTTATCTATAAAATCACAGAGGTAGAAGAAATAATTTGTAGAAAAAGTGGGCTTAGGAAACAAGCTATAGAGGTAAAGGAAGGTCCCTTGGAGATTGGGAGTGAGAAAGCTAACAGTAACATGCCTGGGACAGGGATGGGGAAGGGAAAAGGAAAGGCATGCTTCCTGGAGGGAGAGCCTAGATTGTACAGTTTTTAAAAAACACTTAGTGTTATAATTTTATACTTCAGAAGGGGAAAAGCCCTATAGCTTTGGAAAGAGAAAGCAGAGCTCACATTATTTTCTTTTTTGTTGTTACTAATCCTCACCTGAGGATATTTTTTCCATTGATTTTCAGAGAGAGTGGAAGGGAGGGGGAGAGACAGAGAGAGAGAGTAACATTGATGTGAGACACATCAGCTAGGGCTCACATTTTTTGACTGGTGGGGATGCACTAAAGATTCTGGGACTCAACCAAAAGAATACTGAATTGGAGTGCTGTGACTTTTTTTGTTGATCAAAAGGAGTTAAAGGCTTAAATGTCTGAGAAATTCTTTTTTAAAAGTCTGAGAAACTGCCCTAGTTGGTTTAGCTCAGTAGATAGAGCAGCCGGCAGACTGAAGGGCCCTGGGTTGGATTCCCATCAAGGGCACATACCTCAGTTGTAGGCTCAATCCGGGCGCATGTAGGAGGCAGCCAATCGATGTATCTCTCTCACATCATAAATGTTTCTCTCTGTCTCTCCTCTGCCCTTTCACTCTCTCTAAAGATCATTGGAAAACTATTCTCGGGTGAGGATTACCAACAACAACAAAATTTTTTTTTTAAAAGGCTGAGGAACTCTTATCTATCTAGACCAGGGGTGGGCAAACTTTTTGACTCGAGGGCCACAATGGGTTCTTAAACTGGACCGGAGGGCCGGAACAAAAGCATGGATGGAGTGTTTGTGTGAACTAATATAAATTCAAAGTAAACATCATTACATAAAAGGGTACGGTCTTTTTTTTTTTTTAGTTTTATTCATTTCAAACAGGCCGGATGCGGCCCGCGGGCCGTAGTTTGCCCACGGCTGATCTAGACCAACCTACTAAAAATGTTTACGGTTTAAAAAAGAAACACACACTCACAAATAAAAGTCCTCCCAAAGTTAACAGAGTATCCATGTCAGAGATCTGGGAAATGGTTCATAGTGGTCTTAGATTCTTCTAACCTTTAGTCCAGTTCTGAATACACTATACATTGATTACAGTTAATTAAGAATTATCTGTGACAGGCAGATGTGGCTCAGTTGACTTGTGAGCCAGGAGGTCACATTTACTAGATTCCTGGTCAGGGCACATGCTTGGGTAGTGGGGCGTTCAGGAGGCAGCCAATCCATGTTTCTCTCTCATCACTGATGTTTCCATCCCTCTCTCCCTCTCCCTCCCTCTCTCTGAAATATATATATATATATATATATATATAGCAAGTGACAAAATACTTTCCTCATTCAATAAAAATCCTTGAAGTACATTGAAACAAAAGTTTCATTTTAATACTTGAGTTCTATACTGACAAATATCTGGCTTTGTCTTCCATATTCATACCTAAGAAGAAGACATCTCTTTTTAGCACTTAATAAAGGCTTCTTTTGCCTACCATTATATCACTTAGTATATTTTTGTTCCATAAATTCTATTTTATATCACTTAATATTTACAACAATCTTGTCAGCTCAATGGTTCTGTACCCACTTTGCAGACAAAAAACCGAGGTTCGGTGGTTAGGTGACTTGTTCATGATAATAAATCAGTGCAATTGCAATTCAACTCAATCTAACTTCAAAGCTCGTTCTACCACACCAAATGCCCACTCCCCTTCCTCGTAAGGAAATAGGACTCTAAGAACTGTCTGCAGAGAAGGAGCAGGGGATGGTTTTCGGATGGTCTCAGCTGTAGTTAACCTGTCCAGTAACCTGCAAGTAACAGTTACAGAACTCAAAAAAAAATCGCTATAAAGTCGGTGCACGATTATTAATCACCTTTTGGTGAAAACCTGTTCTCAACTGAACGATCTGAAAAATAATTTTTCAATTAAAAAAAACAAACTGCTTGGAAAATCGGGGTACTGTGCCCCCAAGTGGTCAAAAACGGGGCCATCACCAGAGCTCGCTATGAGCTCGATTTGTGCAAGGCCAATCGAGCAACGCGGCAATTTTCCCTGCAATTCACCAAAAGCACAGGCGCCCGCCCCCCGCCTAGGGAAGCTACGCGCATGCCCGAGGCTACACCGCCTGGTGGCGCCACTTCCCCCACATCCATCACACCCGCTCAGCCCGCTCTTTTGAATACCTTTGTCTAATTCCATAAGGGCAGAGTTAGCATCCAGCTCCTGTTCACCATAGCCGGCATCTGCCAAGAAAGACTTAGTTGAGTTTGACGCCATGGCCCCAATAGTTACTGGACTATCCTATTCAGAAATATTGCAAACTCGGCCCCATCACCGCCATCTTCTTCCACCACCTTCTCGCGGATTTTTCCTCCGCGCTCTGTCAAATTGTGGTACGCATGCGCCCTGGTCACCACGCCGTTCGCCAGCACCTCAGCGCCGCCCCGCGCAGGCGCCCTGGGAGCTGCAGAGCCCCAGGTTCCCGCGGCTGGGAGAAAAGGAGGCGGGGATTCGTAGAGGGAAGTGAATCGACGGCGCCCGGACGCCGCGGTGAGAGCCAATCAGAGGGCGTGACGTCAGTTTGGCGGGGAGTTTGGTGGCCGGGGCTTACAGTGGCGGGAGTTGGAGGCTATAACTAGTCCTCTTCTCAAGGACCCAAGTTGCGAGTTCTGCTGAACCGGTGGCATCTCGACGACTTTCCTCTCCGTTGTGCCTTCCCCCCCGGCCCAGATGCTCTTCAATTCGGTGCTCCGACAGCCCCAGTTTGGCGTCCCGAGACATGGTGAGTAACGGCCCCAACCGCTGCCTGTTGCTGGCGGGATTCGCCTCCCCCGAAACCACACCTCGGACCAAGGCCGAATCCAGTTGTTTCCCAGCTCCAGCCCCGAGTTCTCCTTCGGCCAGACGACTGGAGAGAGCTGCGCTTTCATGCCCTCGGGACACTTTTAATCGGAGTCTCCATTTTTAGAACTAAAATGTAGGCGGGCGGAGGGAGCGAAGTTAACTTAAATGGCCTCCTTTACGGCTTGTGCCTATAGTACACTTTTCGTGGAAAACGCGTGCATGTGCGTGCGTGTGAGCGTGTCTGTGTGTTTCTCGTCAGCTCTGTGAGATCGAGGAGGCTCGTATGCATGGATTAATTTGTTGTGGAATCCTAGTGAGCCCTAATATTTATTATTATAGCACTTCAGCGAATCTGACCCGCTGTTCAGGAACTCCGTCGAGCGGAGAAGACAGAACATCTGCTTCTAGCATGGCCAAGAAGGCTTTTTTTCTCCCTGATTACTTCATATGCATAAACATTTGAAATTATAGAGTGAAAAGTGCCCATAACCACACACCCCAGAGAATACCACTATTAAATAGATTGAAGTATATTTTTCCAACATGTTTTTTCAATGCCGGGGGTAGTATGTATTGGTATTTACAGAGGTGGTATCAAAGTGTTTTGTTTTGTTTTTCACTCTCACGGTGTAACTTGGGAATATTTCCCTATTGGTGTGCAGAAGTCTAACTTATTCTCTAGAGTTCTTGAGGTTCCTGAAGTTAAAACTTTGGCAGTAAGAATTTTGAGCCTGGGTTTGAGTGTCATCGACCTGAAACTTTCTGATAAGAAAGTTACTGCTGGGACTCAGCTTGGATAGAAATGCAGGATAGGTCTTCTTTCTCTTTAAAACCACGTGCGGGGGGAAAAAAGAAAAGAATTTGAGAAGGGAGCTTTTTATATTTAAGGCATAGGTCTAGGACAATGATTTTCAACCGGTGTGCTGCAAAAAAAAATAAAATTTAAAACATGCAATACCTGACTATTTAGTCGGGGCACTGACCTCTTTTCCCTTAGATTGTCAAATAAGGAAATGACAACAGCCAACACAACAATAGCCGTCCGGTGTGAACGAATCAAAATTATACCTTTTTATTTTTTGTCAGATTGGCAAAAAATACATATTTTGGTGTGCTTCAGAAACTTTCTGATAAGGATGTTACTATCTAGACTAAGCTTGGATAGAAATGAAATTTCATTCCTTTAAAAGAAGGATAAGTCTTCTTTCTCTTTAAAACCACGTGGGGGAAAAATCACGTGGAAAACAAAAAGAAAAGAATCTGAGAAGGGAACTTTTTACATTTAAGGCATAGGTCTAGGATAACGATTTTCAACAGGTGTGCTGCAAAAAATAAAATTTAAAACATGCAATACCTGACTATTTAGTTAGGGCACTGACCTTTTTTCCCTTAGATTGTCAAGTAAGAAAATGACAACAGCCAACACAATAGCCGTCCGGTGTGAATGAATCAAAATTACACCTTTTTATTTTTTGTCGGATTGGCAAAAAAATATGTATTTTGGTGTGCTGCGGAATTTTAGTAATTAGTTTATGTGTGCCATGAGATGAAAAAGGTTGAAAAATCGTTGGTCTTTTAGGAAAAGGATATTGAGGAGACTGAGTAGTCCCTCAGCTTTCTGCCACCAACCTAAAACTTTATATCATCCTGACCTACTTCCCTCTTGCATAATATTTTAAATCATACTTTAAATACCCCCTCTTTTTGTCTATCCAGGGACCTTGCTTGAGTAACTTCTCTGTCTGTCAGTGGTTAAGAGCTTTGGCTTTGGAGATAAAATGCCTGCGTTCTTTGTTGTTTTTTAATGCCTGAGTTTTAAATCCAGTTCTACTCTTATCTGTGTGACCCGAGGCAAACTCTAGCCTTGATTTTGTAACACATTTTCTCCTAATTCTCCAATTTATCCTCTACATCTTCCTTTCTCTCTCATAAATTCTCATTCATTGTTATGTGTTAGGCTTTGAAATTCATTCATCCTTATATAGTATGCACTGAACATGATAGGACCATTTTCTCTTTTCCCCTTCCTGTCAGTGTTCCATCCTAGGCCCCCTTTCTCCTTCTATCTACTCCCATTGATGATCGGAGTCTTCACAGGGCTTCTTCCACTGCCACCTGCAACCTTCCCTTCCCAAGACTGTTACATCCAGTCATAAAAGTTGTATGAGTATCTTTACCCAGATGGTCAGTGCCACAGGCATCTCAAACTCAAATACCTAAACTGAACTGACTTTTTCCCTAAACCTGCTATATTACCTATTTTGGCAGTGGTTCCATTATTTTAAACTAGTCTGCCCAGCCAGAAACCTGAGAGCTAATAGAAATTTCTCCATTTTCCTCAAGTTACACATCCAGAAAGTTTCCTTATAATCTCTTGACTCTAACCTCTCTTTCCCCACTGATTTTGCATCTTCACCATATCTTGGATCTGTTCTATGTTTACCATTCCGTTTCCTTAGTTTGGGCCCTGATACCTTCTGGTCTGGACTATAACAGGTCTCTCAAGTGGCCTCTCTCTAGTTTATTCTCCACATTGTTGCCAATGATATTTCTAAAATAGAAATCTGATTACTCTTCTGTGTATTTTTAAATTGGTACCTAAAAGTTTTTATCATAAGTTTAAATAAATATAAAGGATTTAATTTCTGGCCATATTATAAATATTGACTTATTTTAAGCTTGAAAATTGGATTGATCACCCTTTTTTTGTAAAAAAAATACATTTGAATTGATATTATCTGTGATTGTAAGGCTCTGTGTGTTAAAAGTTCATCTGGATTGACTTAACATTGCAATTATTAGTATGCAATTAATCAAAACAATATATATACATATTTTTTTACAATATATATTTTTAATTTTGATAAGGAATTACTAAGCAAAAAGTTAAAATTTTATTGGAAGTGTATTTTTTCAAGCAGTGGATTTGTGTGTTCATTATGCCTTTACTAAAGGGAGTATCTGGTTGTCTCTCATTTGGGGCCCCAGAAGTTTTTACACCTTGCGGTACCGCAAGGTGTAAAATTGGGGTAATGGAAATACCTTTCTTTTGAAAGTGTAAGACAGTGATGAAGGGAGAGGAGAAAAAAGCCTCAACCTTTACAAACAATCATTTTTAGAAATGTTTATACATGGAATTTGAGTATCAGGAAATAGATTCTCTGAAAACTCTCATGTCCTCAGATACTCCTTGAAAAATCTGCAGGTAATTTTAAATTGTACATTGGGTAAGTAATAGGCTTTTCAAATGAGTGTTGTGGGGGGAAAGCATTACAAATTCATGTTGGAAACAGCTTAACACACTAATCCAAAAGTAGTTTAAGGGTCTGGTCCAAAAATGGAGGGGACTAGTTACTAAGTCGTGTTGGGCCATTTGTTAATATTTGGATATTAGTCTGTAGGTTATGAGGCAAAGTTGACAGGAGTCAATGTTTAATTGTAAAGAATTAGATCTCCATAGCATACATATTATCTTCAGTTCCACCTAAATTATTTAAGATTCAGTTCTTTTGAATTAGTGTGAAGTCATTAAATTTTTTTGAAAAATCCTAAACCACAAGTGTGCATTTCTATAACTTTTTAAAAAATATATTTTTATTGATTTTTAAAAAAATAATTCTTTATTGTTGAAAGTATTACGTATGTCCCCTTTTTTCCCCCTTTGACCCCCTCCAGTCCACCCCTCCCACCCCAGGCCTTCAGCACCTATTGTCTGTGTCCAGGGGTTATGCATATATGCATACTAGGTCCTTGGTTGATTTCCTCCCACCCACCCGCCTTCCCTCTGAGATTCCGCACTCTGTTCATGCTTCCATGTCTCCAGATCCACTCCGTTCATCAGTTTATGTTGTTACTTAGATTCCACATGATTGCAATCATGTGATACTTGTCTTTCTCTGACTGACTTACTTCACTTAGCATGATACTCTTCAGATCCCTCCATGCTGTCTCAAAGGGTAAGAGATTCTTTTTTACTGTTGTATATATTTTTGTTGATTTCAGAGAGGAAGGGAGAGGGAGAGAGAGACATCAATGATGAGAATCATTGATCAGCTGCCTCCTGCACGCCCTCTACTGGGTATTGAGCCCACATCCCAGGCATGTGCCCTTGACCAGAATCAAACTGGGGACCTTCCCATCCACAGGCTGATTGATGCTTTATCCAGTGAGCCAAACCAGCTAGGGACATTTATATAACTTTAGAACAGAAGCTTTGGTTTTTAAATTCTTTCTGTGGGTGGATATTTTTTTAACTCTACAACATAACTAATTATTGTATTCTTTTGGTGGTCTTTAATGGCTAATTTATAATGATATCTGACCTTGAGATAAAATCCTCAGGAATAATTACTAAATCTGGATTGAATTTATTTGCCTCCTTTGTTCTGATTCCCTTAGGTTATCTCTATGAACATGAGGTTATGTCAGGCTTAGCTGTCTTCTCCAGTTTTGTTTTTTAATGAAAAGTGGGACTCGAAAGTACCCTAAAATGTGAGAGTTTGTTAATTATTTAGACAGCTCTCAATATAGAGTATATTGTCATTGTTTCCTCCTATATTTAATAAAATCTGATTTTAATAACTATTTATTGAATCAATGTTCCTTTTATATATATTTAAAATGTTTCGACCCACATATAAAAATGATAGATCTTTGAAGATGTTTTACTTTTTAGACTATAGTGCACATTAGGTTTCTGAACCAAGCAGAGTAAACTCTTCCTCCACCCTGAAATTCTTCCCCTGTCTTGTATATTCATTGAAAACATATTCATCTTTCAAGATTTGTGTTTGATTTCACCTCCTCTAAAGACTTCCCTGACCCTCCTACTATGCCAAGACTAACTGCTTGTACTCTAGGGGTAGGTATATTTCAAGATACTATGACTTGAATTTCAGCACTGGAAAGGAAAAAGGAAGTGAAATTAATAATCAACTTGTGAATATGTTAGTGGCTACAGTAGGCATATTTGACATAATTATTTCCTTTAATTCTATGACCATTGGATTATGTATGATGTTGCTAGTAACTTATGAGTTTACAGTAATGTTGCGTTAGAATCTCTAAAAACAGTCTCCAAAGGGTTGGAGAAGATCTTTTTTAATGTGTAAAGGCCATTTGGTTTTTTTTGCAATCTTAAATGTACTAGCAAGAGTCTCTATTTAGATGAAAAGCCCAAAGGCTATACCTTACCAGAATTTGGGAGTGCTCATTCATTCTTTCTTAGGAAAATACCAAAAACTGTATTATAGAGGATTATAGATAGTGACTGGGTCTGTATTAGATATATAAAGCTTTTTATTTTATTTATTTTTAATTATTTATTTATATTTGGTTGATCCTCACCTGAGGATATTTTTCCATTGATTTTTAGAGAGAGAGAGAGACAGACAGACAGAGATAGAGAGAAACATTGATGTGAGAGAGACATCGGTTGGTTGCCTCCTGCACATACCCCTATCAGGGCCGGGGAACCTGCAACCAAGGCAAGTGCCCTTGCCTGGAATCGAATCCGGGACCCTTCAGTCCATGGGCTGACGTTCTAGCCACTGAGCCAGCTAAGGTTTTTTAAAACAAATAATTATTTCTGTATTTGTTAAAAGTACTAAAATGTGATGATATATTGGATTTCTATAAGGAATTGTATCTTATTTTAGGATGGTCTTCACAATATCCTCTACAGTCCCTTCTAACTGGTTATCAGTGCAACTCTAATGATGAGCACACTTCTTATGGAGAAACAGGAGTCCCAGTTCCTCCTTTTGGATGCACTTTCTCTTCTGGTAAGAAAATTACTGTCTAGCTAGGCTTGCTAAAAAAAAATAACCTATTTCACACTTAAGAGGAAAAATATACAGAGATATCTCCCTTTCAAAAAAAAAAAGTAAGATAGGTGATAGAGTTTTTCTAAGACTGTTCTTCCTGATTCATGAAATAGACTTTTCTTAATTTCTGTGCATAATTATATATATCCTCTAAAGCAGCGGTTCTCAACTTGTGGGTCACGACCCCTTTGGGGGTCGAACGACCCTTTCACAGGGCTCGCCTAAGACCATCGGAAAACACATATATAATTACATATTGTTTTTGTGATTAATCACTATGCTTTAATTATGTTCAGTTTGTAACAATGAAAATACATCCTGCATATCAGATATTTACATTACGATTCATAACAGTAGCAAAATTACAGTTATGAAGTAGCAACAAAAATAATTTTATGGTTGGGGGTCACCACAACATGAGGAACTGTACTAAAGGGTCGTGGCATTAGGAAGGTTGAGAACCACTGCTCTAAAGCATAGGACCTCATAGTACTTTTTAAAAAACTAATATAGGGAAAAGGTTGCAAAGGTTCAGCCATCATGAAAACTGTTTTGATCTGATTGAATCTATCTTTCTGGAATGCCTTGGGGAACAAAAGAACAGAAATAGAAATACTTTTTACCACTGTTAATATTTCTAAAACAGGAAAAGTAAAAGGTTGTGAAAAGGGGATTTTAAACTAATAGACTCAGCCTGCTGGTGGCCTACATCATATACCTTTATTAGCCATTGGCCAGTACCACTCTTGTTTTGTTTGAGTACCATTCTTTATTCACCCCTCTCTTAAATGAGAGGTTATCTGAAGATAATTTTGGTGGTTTTAAGTCATTTACTGAATTAGAAAATATGGCAAATTTTAAGTAATTTTTAATTCAAATTACCTCTGGACCATATCAGATGCCATTTGGGTAGAATCATCTTCCCTCTTTTCTAACAGATTCTTTGTGTTTACCCAGTAGCTTTCAATTAATCTATATTATATATAGGTTATATATACTTATATATTTATACATATGTATATAATTTTATAATAAGCTCTAAAATTATGTTACTCTTCATACATTCTATTCTTTATTTTTTATTTAGCTCCAAATATGAAGCATATACTAGCAGTTGCCAATGAAGAAGGCTTCGTTAGATTATATAACACAGAATCACAAACCTATAGAAAGAAGTGTGTTAAAGGTAAGTCTAGGTCTAAGGTTTTTGTTTTACCATTTTAAATCCATATAGCCTCAAGTAAATTATTATTTGACTACATTCCCAATTATATTCATTTCTGATTAAGTTTGTTTAAGGACCAGGCTATTTCTTTCAATAGATGTTAATTATGGCATGACTTTACTGAAAATTAAGAAAAATACATTTTAGGATTAAAAACAGTTCTTTTAAAAAGGTTCAATCTTTTACACTTAATATCATTGGGAGAAACATTGTTTTAAAATACTTATATTGACCAAGCATCTTTCATATGTAAGACAAAGTTCTATTGACCTAAAAAGCTGATAATTTGGAACTAATAAGTCAACTGTTGAAATAACTAAAATAAAACAAAGACTGTAAATGATATAGACATACAAAGAAAATGCTATAGAAGTCAAAGAGCAAGTCCTCATGTGATAAAGAAGGGGAGGAAAATTTTTTTTGAAGGATGGGACATTTGAGTTGGACTGGTATTTAGACCAATGGCGATAGAATAGGATACTCCCGGTGGAGGGAAAAGCATTAGCAAAGACGTAGAAATATGAAAGAATAGGATATAATAAGGAAATAGGGTGTAATTCGGTTTCATTTGAATGTAGTATGTAGAGAACAGTGAAAGATAAATCTTGTGATAAAGGACAAAGCCTACAAAACTTTGAGGTGTCAAACTAAAGTACTTTAGACTCTTCAGAGAGCAGGATGAAGATTTTTGAACTGGAAAATGTTTCAGAAAGATTTCATTTTAGAGAATATATTACTAGTCACCTCATGGAAAGGAATTTGATATCAAATGTTAGTTCTATGTTGTAATGGTGGGGATGTTTTGTATTATATCACTCTTTAAATCTTCCTTCTCCATTGTAATGCGCTTTGGCCAATGGACCTTAGGGTGCTGACCACTGACTTTTTCACTACAGTTTTCAAAGTATTTAAACTGCTATTGATATGACTACCTCAGAACATAGTTTAGACATTTCACATTCATCATTTTCTTAATTTAGAATGGATGGCTCACTGGAATGCTGTCTTTGACCTTGCCTGGGTCCCAGGTGAATTTAAACTTGTAAGTGGCTTTCATTTTATTTGGGTCTGAGTAGAAAATGGTTAAGGGTTGCTTTATTCAATTGTGATAACATTTTTTAAAGGTTACAGCAGCAGGTGATCAATCGGCCAAATTTTGGGATGTAAAAGCTGGTGAGCTGCTTGGAACTTGCAAAGGTCATCAGTGCAGCCTCAAGTCAGTTGCCTTTTCTAAGTTTGAGAAAGGTAGGTTTGTACCTGTCTTCTTTCATCTCCTCAGCCTCCTTTACAATGGGGTAATAAGAAATTATAATTGTTTCCTCATTTTCTGCTATCAAAGTTGCTATTTTATGTATATAGATGATTGAGATTCTAATATGACTGAAAACCTAAATGAAATTAAGTTGGGTTTTAGTCTTATTCTTATGGACATTATCTCCAGCTTGTCCCTGAAAATCAAACATTGTCAGGTAATTTTTTTCTATAACCTTGCCAATAAGGTAAAGATTTGTTAATAGCTACTATACCTCTATTCAATTCTGGGTGTCCTTTAAAGTCTAAACCCTGTACTGGCCACTGATTTGCCTATTCTGCACATTCATATAAATAGGAACTATATAATATGTGGTCTTTTGTGACTGGCTTCTTTCACTTGGTGTAATGTTTAATCTTATTTTTTTTACCTCAAGTTGAATGATTTCTGTTGCTCTATCTTCAAGTTCACTGACTTTTCCTCTGTTCTCATCATTATGCTCTTAAAGTTATCCAGTGAATTTTGTCATTTCAGAAATTGTTTTCTATTCTAAATTTTCCTTTTTTATAAGCTCTCTCTGCTGAGATTTTTCATCTTTTCAATGTAAATGTCTTCTTTACCTCATTTGACATAGTTATATTTGCTTTACAATCTTATCTGATAAAGCAACATGTGAGTTATTTCAAGGTTGGTCTCTGTTGATTTCTTTTCCCTTGAGGATGACTCATTTTTCCAAACTCTTTATATGTCAAATAATTTAGTTATATCCTGGGCATTGTGAATGGTATGTTGGACTCTGGGTTCTGTTATATTACTTAGGGAAGAGTTGACGTTTTTGTTCTAATGGGCAATTAAGACTCAAGTTACAGACTCAAATCTGCAACAGGGCAGTGGGTTCTATCTCAATTCTGTTCGTTAATTTAAGTCTTAGTTGCAAGCTGCTTTAAGTTTTCCCCTTCAAAGATGGTTCAGGGGTCAGCCAGAAACTTATCCTGAGTTAAACACAGAATCAGGCCTTCCCTGGCTCTGGCTTTCTCTAGGGTTTCCCCTTCTCTCTGGCAGCTCTTGTTGCCCAACATCTCCTTTTCCAGTTTCTCTGGCTTGGAAGATGGCAGGTTTTTCTATTGGCATTTTAGTTGCTTGCCCACTGGCTGCCCTCAAGGTAAAACCACAAAAGACCAGTAACTTAGCCCAAGCCAATCACTTGCTTCAGTTATTGACTCTCCTCCAAAAATTGCATGTTTTTGTTCAGTCTCGATAGAGCCCTCAGATCATTTTTTATATTTTTTTTCCAGAGTTTAAAAGCTAATGCAAGTGGATTGGTTTGGTAAGTGTCCACTCTTCCATACAGAAGCAGAGTTGTTTTGGCTTAATTTTAAAGAATAATACATTGCAGATAAATTGAAGTTCTTCTATGTTTTCTTCTCCAATCCCATTGCCCCCTTCCACCTCTAGAGGCAACCCCTTTCACAAATTTTGTTTGGATCTGTTCCATGGTTTTCTACTGAGACAGTACAACTTGGAGGTTTGGAGTATGGGCTCTGGATTCCTACTGTCAAGAATACCTTTACAAATTACTCGTTCTCTCTGTGCCTTAGTTTTCTCATTTTCCCAGTAAAATGGGAATAATAATAACCCACTAATAGGATTAATAACAAGGATTGAGATAATTTATATAAAGCACTTAGGGCAGTGTATAGCACTTAGTAAGCACTCAATATATTTGGTTATTGCTTGTTTATCATTCTTACTATAACTTTACCATATATATAGTGTTTTATGTGGTTTTAAGAAAATTTACACAGGGATTATTCTGTTGAGTTTTTGTTTAATATTTGACATGTGTTTTGAGTTTTTTGTAATTCTTTACCTTCACAACTTTGTTTTCTCTTATTTGTTGTTGAACCATATATTTTTAATTTTTAATCTCTAGCGCCAATTATAGAAGCTAGCATATAATAGATACTCTAGGAAACTTAAGTTGAAATGTACATGTCATTGACCAGTTTTTTAAATTTCTTGATAAACTATTTCCCCACAGCTGTCTTCTGTACAGGTGGAAGAGATGGCAACATTATGGTCTGGGACACCAGGTGTAACAAAAAAGGTAGTCTAGTTCCATTTTAATTTTGATAAATGTGGCCTGTCCCATACTTCATTGTTTTGAAAAAAAGGTTTATTGAATTCATCTGATAACCACTAGGGGGCACAAGTTCATAATCCTTTATTTCTGCTTAATGTTCTAATGCTCATGATCTTAGCGATTGTTGCAAGTATTACCCTCTGTATTTAAATCATATTGTCTTCTGAACTATATTATTTATCTAAATGATTGATGGAATTGAAATTATTAATTCATTGCTCATTGGTAAATGATCTTTTATAATTTTTTTGGCTTTAAAGAATTAGGTTAGATTAAATGTAATTATGCTCACCTTGCCCATTGATGCCATTAAGCAGAAACTAATGATCATCTTCCCTTTTTTAAAAAAAGTTATTTTTAGCCCTAACCGGTTTGGCTCAGTGGATAGAGCGTCGGCCTGCAGACTGAAGGGTCCCAGGTTCGATTCTGGTCAAGGGCATGTACCTTGGTTGCGCGTACATCCCCAGTAGGGGGTGTGCGGGAGGCAGCTGATCGATGTTCCTCTCTTATCGATGTTTCTAACTCTCTATCCTTCTCCCTTCCTCTCTGTAAAAAATCAATAAAATATATTTTTTTAAAAATTATTTTTAACAGACTATTTTATAGAGCAGTTTTAGTTATATAGCAAAATTGAGCAGAAAGTATAGAGCATTCTCTGTGTACTGATATACCCCATCTCACACAGCCTCTTCCACTATCAACATCCATACGAGAGTTAAAAATTTATTACAACTGATGAACCTACATGGATACATCACTATCACCCAAGGTCTATCTGTACTTTACATTAGGGTTCACTCTTAGTATTGTATATTCTATTGGTTTTGACAAGTATAAAATGACATGTATCTACTATTATAGTATCATACAGGATAGTTCACTGCTCTAAAAATACTCTCTACTCCAACTATTAATCCTACCCTCCCCCAATCCTGGCAACCACTGATTTTTTTATTGTCTTCATGGCATTGCTTTTTTTTTCTTTCATGGTTTTGCCTTTCCCAGAATGTCATAATTACAGTATGTAGCCTTTTCCCATTGACTTTTCTTAATTAGTAATATGCATTTAAGGTTCTTCTGTCTTTTTATGGCGTGGAAGCTCACTTTGTAGCACTGGATAATATGCCATTGTCTGGATGTACCACAGTTTATTCATACATTCAAATACTGAAGCACATCTTGGTTGTTTCCAAATTCTGGCAATTATGAATAAAGCTGCTATAAACATCTGTGTGCTTATTCCTTTTTATCCATTATAATCTCAACACAAAAGATGTAATGTGGTAGCACTGCTGGCTTTGAATTTTAATCTAATAAAGAATGTAATTAATCTTGAAATCTTATATATAAAATAGAGGCCCGGTGCACAAATTCGTGCACGGGTGGGGTCCCTCGGCCTGATTGGCCTGATCAGCGCCGTCTTGCCCAGTCCCAATCAGGGACGATGGGGGCCGGCTAGCCGGGGAAGGACTGCGGGAGGGCTCCAGGGCATGTCCGGCCCTCTCACCCAGTCCCGATCGGCCGGACCCCAGCAGCAAGCTAACCTACTGGTTGGAGCATCTGCTCCCTGGTGGTCCGTGTGGGTCATAGCAACTGGTTGAGTGATTCAGTCAATCTATCGGTTGGACACTTAGCATATTATGCTTTTATTATATAGGACGTTACATTCAGCATAAGAATAAGTTCTGAAAACTAAATAAATTTCCTCTGAATATCTTTCAGATGGATTTTATAGGCAAGTGAATCAAATCAGTGGTGCTCACAATACCTTAGACAAGCAAACCCCTTCAAAACCTAAGAAGAAACAGAATTCAAAAGGACTTGCTCCTTCTGTGGTAAGGTTTTATAGCTATATACACGTGTGCAGATCTTAACAGTGGGATAGAATCTCAAGGAATTTGTTGGTCATAAAAATAGGAGCTATAGATTGAGTGAGAATCTTCATTTCCTCTTGATATCAGTGGGTTTTTTGTTAATGCTAATTGATGGTTTTCAAAACCTAGTTTGCAACAGAGGAACCTGGGAAGCATATTAAAAATTCAGCTTCCTAAGCCTCATCCTTAGGGTTTCCATGCACACACTTACCTACAGCATAATGTGATTCACTAGGAAAGGGGCAGTAGTTTGAAGAAGTATATTAAGTACTATGATAGTTTCTGTTGGGAAGGAATCCCTGTTGTTTTCATATAGTACCTTTCTAGTATCTGATAGTCAAAGCTCAGACAATGCCCAGAATACATCTTTTTTCTCACCATTGCTCTTACTTTAATGTGTTTACTTTTCTAGTACTCCTGGTCTGTAGGATCCAACTTAATATTTTGGGGGGAGGTATGGTTGTTAAAACAGAACTTAAAATTGCATACCATGAACAGGACACAAGCAAGAATGGAAACTGGCAGGGTTAGCATGAGGTCTTTGGAGGTTCGATGAAGTTAAAATGAGTAATATATTTCAGACATTTAATTAGATTCTGAGCCAAGAAAACCTATTAACAGCAATTAGGTAAAAAACTCCATTGAGCACCTTTAAATTTTTCAGAGCACGTAATAACCATCTTTGATCGGTAGTTCTTTAGATACTCTTATATGATAGTCTAGGTAAAAATCTAGATAGACGGTGATATTTCATAGATGAAACAGGCATGGGAAAGTTAAGTGAATTTCCTAAGGATACACAACTTATTAGTAGGTCTGATTCTAAGTAGAGTCAGTAGGCTTAAACAAGTTAAATCTTTTAATAACCAATATGTTTCTTAAGTGTAAGTCAAAGTGATTCCTAGCTAAAATTACTTCTTGGTCAGCAAGAAGATTTAGTCTAACTGAGAGTTTGGGAGAAAAAAAGCCATTTTAGTACCAGGTCTCTTGATGGTGAAGATTGTGCTGTCCAAAATAGGATTTACTCCTTTTCTTTTTCTTCTTTGTGTTATTAGGATTCCCAGCAGAGTGTTACTGTGGTCCTCTTTCAAGATGAGAATACATTAGTCTCAGCAGGAGCTGTGGATGGGTAAGAGCTTTATTTCTTGGTTCTTTTGATAAGGTCTCTTTCATGAACTGTGATGGGGAAGTCACCTAGTCCCATTATAATTGAATATGTGCGCTTTTAACTTCCCAACATAGTGAATACCCAGCTGAGAAGAGGACCTGCAGATCACACTGGAAAATATCTAGTTAGGACTCTTGCTCAAATAATTAAGTGAGATAATACATGTGTCACACTTAGCACATTTTCTAGCACATTTGAGCAATATTGGCTGCTCCTATTATAGAGAAGCTGGATAGGTAGCTTGCTTATCTATGCAGTATAATTTAGTCAGTAATTCGTATTTAAGAAGTAAAATTGCTACTATCTTAGATTTTATCTTCTCATGGTTTAGTAATAACCTAAAAGAAAAAACCTGATTTGGGGCATTTCTGGGAGTGCTCTAACTAGAATAATAGTAAGTCTTGATGACTTTCAATTCACATACCTGCCATCCATGATTGGTCTGAATTTCTAGCTTCAGATAATTTTGTGGTACTTCTTGATTGGTTGCTTTGTTCAAATATAACTTATTTGAGTATAGGGACTCTTTCATTCTTTTTTTTTAAGCATGTAGCATAGTGCCTAATACTTATTATTATTATTATTATTATTTTAATATATTTTATTGATTTTTTACAGAGAGGAAGGGAGAGGAATAGAGAGTTAGAAACATCAATGAGAGAGAAACATTGATCAGCTGCCTCCTGCACACCCCCTACTGGGGATGTGCCCGGAACCAAGGTACATGCCCTTGATTGGAATCGAACCCGGGACCCTTCAGTCCGAAGGCTGACGCTCTATCCATTGAACCAAACCAGTCAGGGCGGGACTCTTTCTTTTGTAAGCCCCCGTCTTTGTCCCCTTATTTACTCATTATATCTCCCAAGACATCCTCCCTTCAAAAAACAATTTAGCCTGGCCGGTGTGGCTCAGTGTTTGAGTGTCAACCTATGAACTAGGAGGTCATGGTTCGATTCCTGGTCAGGGCACATGCCGGGGTTTCAGGCTTGATCCCCAGTAGCAGGCATGCAGGAGGCAGCCGATCAATGATTCTCTTTCATCATTTATGTTTCTATTTCTCTCTCCCGCTCCCTTCCTCTCTGAAATCAATGAAAATATATTTTTTGAAAAACAATTTAAGATCATGACTTTTAGGATTTCCATTGTGTTTGTTGTCCTCTGGACACTAAAACTTTTTATTTTGTGGACCAAAGTCTGAGGCACAAATGAAGCATTATCTAAAGGTTATCAGTTGTGCTTGTGAATGGATGTGAGAGCTTGCTCTGTTTGTTTCCAAGGATTCTGCCCTGCTACAAGCTTGTGTTTAAGACAATAATCACAATTGATGAAATGAAAAAATACTTTATTTCATAGGAAAATTTGTTTAGATTACTTAAGGAGTTACATATAGAGATAAAACCTTATGGACAAAGTTTGTTACTTATGCTGTCAAAGGTTACATGCAGAGTGTTAAAAGCTTAGGAAATGTTTTTTTTTTCTGCAAACAATGAAACAATGACTATCAGCAGCTACCCTCATCTTCCTTTTCCGCTCCCTTGATGTAAACTCGAGGTAACCCATCACTGGGTCAGATCACATCTGTTTCCGTTATGCCAGAATTGTAAGCCTGATACTAGAAAAAACAGTATGAGACATTTCATTCTGTTTCCCAATGAGATAACCTAATTGTACCTGGTTCATGTGCCAGAGGTGTTAGATTAAAAGTCATTTTACATTCAATATAGTTGAAACTGGTTGGGGTTGGAGAAGGACTACCAAATAACTATCTCTTTACATTGATTTTTAGGGTAATTAAAATATGGGATTTACGTAAGAATTATACTGCTTATCGACAAGAACCTATAGCATCCAAGTATTTCCTGTACCCAGGTAGCAGCACTCGAAAATTAGGTAAGCCTTTTTATAGACTGTAGGACTTTTTGGAAGGACTTTTCGGGGAGTGTAAGTTTTTGTTAAAATTTTAAAATAAATATGCTAGTTTTCAGCAACATAGACTTGGAAAACTCTAATATATGTGGTTTTATCTTTTTGAAGTTCAAAAAATAAAAACAAGAATATTTTTGGTTTGCATATATTTTGGAGAAAATGAATTTTAGTGATTCTTTTTGTAAAATGATCATTTGGCCTCAGCATTTTTATCTCATTTCTACTCATTGTCACCAGTCATGCTAACTAGAGTTTCCTTTTTCCAGGCTACTCCAGTCTGATTTTGGATTCCACTGGCTCTACTTTATTTGCTAACTGCACAGATGACAACATCTACATGTTTAATATGACTGGATTAAAGACTTCTCCTGGTAAGATCTTAGTCATTCAAGTTCTTACCCAGAAACTAATACAGTCTTTTTTGTTAATGATAATTTGATGTTGGTTCTTTTCCAAGCCAAATTTATTATTAAGACATATGAGAATTTTAGGATCTTTGATTAGTTCTACTGATGAATTATCTTGTGGGACAGAGAAGGATGTTCTGCTCAGGTTTTGTTCTGTTTGGGGGTTGTTCATTAAATTAGGGGGCTGAATTTTTTAATCCCCCACAATAATTCTTACCAGCCTTCTCAATATTGGACAATTGCCTCTTTTATGTTTTCCTTATCCTCACACGTTTTATACTTCAAGAAAATTAAAAGTAAAATCTGATATTTAAAGCTGATAAATAACATTTTTAAAAAGAAACCAGTTTCTCAAGCATATACTAAGAGGGTTATTTGGGTTACATAATTTCTAGAACATTATTAATTGCTTAAGCAAGCTACATATTAGTAACCTGCTTTTTCTTATAGACTTTGAATTCTATAACCAATCCCCATATCTACCCAGTGCCCACTAAAGTAAGATGTGCTGATAAATAAATCTCAAAATAGTATACACTATGCAGGGCTCTTAACAGAAGTTTCCAAAGACTGCCCCCAAAGCCGTTATTAGAATTTCATATCTGTAACAGCATTACAGTTGGTATTTCCAATGCTCTGAAATAGGTCTAAACAAGGACAAGAATATTTGGAAAGGAAAGAGTTTTTGTAACTAATTTTGCTATTTTCCTGAATGGAATTTGAACTTAGACAACTTCTAATTTAGTTATCATTTTGTTATACTGTGGCATGAAAAGGAACCTTGAGTTCAGATTATCCTTCTGTGATCAAACAGATATGTCCAAGGCCACTTTACTAACAATTTAGCAACCTTTTTTACTGTGTTCCTAAAATAACTTAATTGGCTGTCACAAATAGAATGATACAGATATAGATATTATGTTTCTTTAAAATTGAGTAACGTGTGTGTATGCATGGCACATATGGTAATTGCTTGCTTTTTTCAAAACTTCAGAAAGGGTCTTGGGCTCAATACTTGTTCTCCCATACTTTTTTAAAAATTATTATTATTTTAAATATATTTTTATTGATTTTAGAGGGAGAGGGAGGGAGAGGGATAGAGAAATATAAACATCAATGGGAAAGAAACATCCATGATCGACTGTCACCTGCACACCCCCTACTGGGGATTGAGCCCACAACCTGGGCATGTGACCCAGTTAGGAATTGAACCAGTGACCTCTTGGTTCATAGGTCGAAGCTCAATCACTTAGCAACACTGGCCGGGCTACTCTCCCATACTTTTAATTTACAATATTTTATCATACTAAGTGATATTCATAAGGATGACTCTGAAGTACTTTAGTGAGGCATTTTAAGAGCCCAAATCATCAAAGAAAAATTAAGTTGACCCCAATATAGGTTTTAGAAGGATTTTTTGCATGGTTTGAAACATTAATAGTGTACTTTATGCTAGCCTTTCTTACACCAGCAGAGGGCAATAAATACTTTTAGGTTTAGTGGGAAATTTGGTCTGTAGCAGTGGTTCTCAACCTACTAATGCCACGACCCTTTAATACAGTTCCTCATGTTGTGGTGACCCCCAATTTCATTGTTACAAATTGAACATAATTAAAGCATAATGATTAATCACAAAAACAATATGTAATTATATATGTGTTTTCCGATGGTCTTAGGCGAGCCCTGTGAAAGGGTCGTTCAACCCCCAAAGGGGTCGCGACCCACAGGTTGGCGACCCACAGGTTGAGAACCACTGGTCTGTAGTGTTCTATTCATTGTTTAGAGCTGAAAAAGATGAACAGTTACAGTTTTAAAGTTGTATTCTGAATAAAGGAGCCTGTTTATTTTGTGGGAATTTATTTCTTGTTAGGGAGGTTATTAGGCTGATTTTTTTTTTCCCCAAGGGGATTTTATTGGCTTCCATAAAGTCGATCTTAGTTCCTTAAAACTGTCTGGTCATATCTGAATCTATGTATGTCTCTCTCCAATATGACATTTTAGTCAAATGCTTGGTAATATAGCCAATTTTTCCAATTGTGTCCTGTTACAAAGAGAACAGATTCTTAGAGAATGTATGTAAATAACTATATTGCATGAAAATAAGAATACTCACTAAGATTTTCCAAATTTTGTAGGGATCAGGTAGGAAAAAAAAGACAACTTTCAATTTTGCTTAGAAAGATATAGTTTACCAAATTGCTATGGGTCATAGGTAGGTCAGGAGGGAAAAAACATGTCCTTATATCTGAAAAACAAAGATTAAAGAACCAATAATATTTCAAATAAAAAATCATGAATATTATCATCTTCATTAGTTCATTTAGTCTCATGTAGTTCTTGTTGATCTTGATCTTTTGTTAGCAGTTTTATGAAGCCATCAATTTCTCCATTAGAAATCTATATATTCTTACTAATTCAATAGCATGATCTGAAAGTTATTAGAACCTTGTATTCCAAAGTACTTTCATGAATCTCTTTGAAGATAAAATACATTTTGCAAAAGCATCAGAGTGAAACAATGACTGTAAGTGACAAAAGACTTAAAATATCATGGTTAAAGATCTGATTACCATGCAGTTGACAGGGAAATTTGCTTATTTCTGTAGCACACATTTTAAAGTGCAACTAGAGCTGCACTTTTCCCAAGTAGAATTATGACTGATAAAACCAGGACATTGTTTTAGAAATTACATGTAATTTTTAGAACATTTTTTATATTAATAACATTCACTTATGCAATATAACTTAAGAAGGCTTACTTAGCATAACTTATTTGGCAATGTTTCCTATATAATTTAACATGCCAAATAAGCCTAATTAGTTTAATATCTTCCTTTTTATAAAAAGAGAACAAATCTTTTGAAATGTTTTAGGGACCCTCTGAAAAATTAGTTAGTTGAAATAAAAAGATTTAATTTAGAATTTGATTACGGGAAGTTTGTCAAAACTTAAAAGTTTTTAAAATAATCAAATAGGATCATAGGTCACTGTGAAACAATACTTAGCTATTAATTTAACCATAATGACAAAGATTTTGCAGACAAATTTGGAAAGTTAAATACTTGTACGTAAAACTTAGCTCTTATAATCAAAAATCTGATAAAACATCATAGGAGATTATTTAGATAAAACATAAAATTCCTATTTTTAGGTAGATTACTCAAAGTTAAAAAAAAAAAAAAAAGCCATTCGTAATCTCTTTATCAAGAGCAGACCAAAAGTCCAATAACACTTCATTCTTTTAACAGGGAAAATCGAATTCTAATTTTGCATCAGCTTACTTTTGATATTAAAACACTTACTTAATTAAATTTTATCTATATGTTAGCCAGCTTGACCATGCATAAAACTCTTTTCTTTTTTTATTTATTTCAGAGAGGGAGGGAGAGGGAGAGATAGAAATATCAATGATGAAAGAGAATCATTGATCGGCTTCCTCCTGCATGCCCCCTAGTGGGGATCAAACCAACAACCCGGGACCTTTCAGTCCACAGACCAACGCTCTGTCCAGTGAACCAAACCAACTAGGGCAAATTATTTTCTTAAGATTCCTTTTTCACAAACCTTCTATAATTTTCTTTTTTACATTGAAATTTTGCCCTATGCTTTTTCCTCTCTTTTTTTAACCAGGCTTTAAGTTAAAATTACTTTATTTTCCCTTAACAAAATATATTTTCATTTCTTATACCATTTTTCTTTTTTAACTGAAAACATAAATCTTATTTTCCTTGCATACTAGGATGTTTCCGTTATTTTAGTAACTTTACATATGTTAATTAGAATTTTCAACCCTTAGAAGCCTTAATTTCTAGTGAAAAATAAGAAGTAAGCAATTGTGGACTGTTATAACAGTGTTTTTTGTTAGCAAACTATGAACCCATTCCATAATTTCTAGAAACGTATTTGTTCATAGTATAGTCTTTTACTAAAGCACAAAAACACAGTTCACTAACAGACCCAAACATAGTAGATCTATAATATGTGTAGCTGAAATGATTCATATCCTGCTTAACTTCACAGTGAAAGTGCTTAATGTAGAGAGTATTTGATATGTAGGCTTTTTCTTGAAAAGGTATAAATAGAAAAGTATTTTTCTAGTTTTATTCTAGCAAAAGGAAGGGATTTCTGTGAGCACTAAGGGAAGCTGTTTTACTGTGCTGTGACCTGGAGTTTGCCATTAAAAGGGTCACCCAAGCAGAGTCATGGAGTTTATTTGGTTATTAATGATTGTTGGCACATCCTATGCAATATACCTAAATTAAATTATGGTACCAGATAAAATTATAGATGGATATGGAGCTTATGTATCATCCATTATCCTGTGTAATCAATAAATGATATACTATCCTCTTGAATGACAACTGTATAAGTTTCTTAATTATTTATTTCCTTATGTTAGAAGATTGGAGTGGAAATTTTTTTCCTGCCTAAATGTTTTCTTAAATTCTCCAAAACATTTTTTTTCTTTTATTTTCTAATGTTCTGATGCTGGAGACTTCAAATATTGGTCTCCATAGGATACATGAACCTATCAAGCACATTATGCTAGTCTGGATTACTTGCCCTTGTATCATGTACAGTGAGAAGTCTAAAACTAAAGGCTTAACCTAACCTAGTTGGAGTATCTTACATATGAACATATAGTTTGCCACAATAGCAACTTTTATTCTTCAGCCTATTTCAAGTACTAGGTTAAAAATATTCCCTCATCCCAGATAAGCTACCCATAAATCTTAACTCTTTTTACTGATTTTTACCTATTCATGCAACAAATGTTTGAAGGTCTACTCTATTCAAAGCACTGTAAGGGTAGTGAGGAAAGAATAAGGTATGAAATTTATCCTCAATAGATCAAAAGTCTAAGAGAAAGAAAGATCAGTGTGTTATATAATGGGGAAGGCCATGCCTTGAGGTAGGTAGAGAGGGTCTATAAAGGCACTTAACTGAAAGATTGGACATTGGCTCTATTTTTGTCCTTTAAGAATGTTTTTCACTACTTCCTTTTAGTCCGCTCCATACCGAGTATTTGGGTTCAAATCATGAGATTGGATCTAATATAATAATGTAATTTCCTTTATTTTCTGACATTGTCCAGTTTTGGTGAATGTAGCTTGACCATCTGCTTCAATAGTCAAAACACTGATTTTTTTCCCCATTTGGCAGTGGCTGTCTTCAATGGACATCAGAACTCTACCTTTTATATTAAATCCAGTCTTAGTCCAGATGACCAGTTTTTAATCAGTGGCTCAAGTGATGAAGCTGCCTATATCTGGAAGGTAAGTTGCTAAATTTCCCCCACAAACGTGAAAATAAAGTATTCTTGCAAATACTTCTTTTTTTCCAAGATGAGGTAAGTTTATTGTAAACACATAAATGATTAACTTTTTCTACTTCAGATGTTTAGTAAAAGTTGCTTCTTGCCTTTTAATATAGCCAAAACTTCACTGTGTTGTCACAAAATACATCACACTTTCATGGCCAGAGCTTCTCAGAAATTAACAATCTGTATCCTCCTATAGTTCCAGATTATCCAGAAATTGAGAATTCAGAAAACTGGAAAGAACTTTAATTACTTCGTCCTGCTTCCTGGAAAAACATACTTGGCTGCTTTTCTGCCCTTTGTTTTCAAACTCTCATTCAAAATACATGCAGTATTTTAATCTTTAGGATTCAGTCTACACCCAAATCAGCCATAGAACCTTGCACAAAATACTCAAAAATATTTGTATAGTAATTGTGTTCCTTACTCTCTTCCTAAAAGTGATTTAATCTTCAGGCTACTAAAATAAATGTGGCTTAATAACATTATTTAAATTTTTTTGGTTTTACAGATTTCTCATTTCTGCTACACAAACATATACATATAAACTAGTATATTACTTTTAAATATGTGGTTCTAAAATGACTACTGTAAGCTAGGAAATTTAAAGCTATTCATTTGAAGTCCAATGGAGAAAGTTGAAATGTTACACTCAAATAGCACTTGCTGACCACTGAAAAGTGGCTCTTGTGGTAATAATTAATTATAGAAATGTCTGGGAATTCAAGAGAGAAGAGCATTGAGGCATTGTTTTCCTAGGGCTGGAAATTAATTATCTTCTAGGTTGTCCTGTAATTTCATAAATGTCCTTGACATTGGTGAATTGAATGATCACAGTTCATACATTTTGGGTTTTAGAGTCATAATGTCTAAAACTTTATAGGTCCGTAAGTTCAATATTATCAAATCTTTTCTCAAGAGAAATTATATCATTTTTAGTCCTGCCAACCTCTAGGAAGTCATTATCTTTTTTCTTTTAATACAGTGCTAGAATCTTTCAGGTATGAAGCATAAATCTTCAGCTAAATTTCATATGATATTGGGGGGAGTACTAAAAATGATTTCTCTATATATGTAGAGTTGCAAAGATGCAAATACTACCTTATCAAAAGCTTTCAGTAACAATATCCTAGATGGTCACATGGTGGAGATATTGTTCTGTCCAAGATGCTTTTGTGTTTGGCTTGTCTCTTTTTCTATAATATATTTCTTTTATTTGTTGTGTTTTTTTTAAAATATATTTTATTGATTTTTTTACAGAGAGGAAGGGAGAGGGATAGAGAGTTAGAAACATCGATGAGAGAGAAACATCGATCAGCTGCCTCCTGCACACTCCCTACTAGGGATGTGCCCACAACCAAGGTACATGCCCTTGACCGGAATCGAACCTGGGACCCTTGAGTCCACAGGCGGACGCTCTATCCACTAAGCCAAACCGGTTAGGGCTATTTGTTGTATTTTTAAGTGAAAATTTGTTTATGAAACATATATTTGAGACCCCCATCTTGTGATAAAAGTTTTCACCTAGCTTCTTATCTATAAAACTTTTCAGACGAGCTTTAAACTTCAACAATATGTGTCACTAGCACTAATATTTCTGTCTTATATTTTAAATTTTGAGTTTCAGATTAGGTCTTATGTGTCTTATTGTACTATCTTTTGGTTTGTTCTTTCTCCTTCCCTCCTTACCTACATTTTTTCCTCTAACTTTGGCTCCCAACTTAGCAGTAAGATTTTATTCCTACCAAAATCTTATCTTTTTAAGTTTCTTATTTCTTAAAAAAAAAAATTTCCGACACACCAAAAAGCATAATAAAGGATTATCCAAAAAATACTTATGCCCTGATCATTTTTAAAAATAACTTAAAATAAGTTTCTTAATTACATACGTAATTAAGATACAAATACAGTTTTATTGGCAATTTTTACAAAGTTACTCCCTAGCCCTTTTCACTAGTACAAAGGCCTTTTTGGTGGTGGTGGTTGTTTCAGAGAATGAGGGTTGAGGGATGCTCCCCCTCTTTAAAGACATGCAATAAAATTATTTGGCTGATGTTAGTAACCCATTTTCAGATATCTAATTAATGGCTATCATATATATGGGTGACTCTGAATTCCTAGGCTGGGTCACATGTTAGTACTGAATGACGTGGGTCAGACATGATGTTCTCCTGCCTGTCCACACATAACTCAGTGTGCAGGCTCTGATATTTGAGATCCTGGCAAGCTTACTGCACCTAAAATTGAATTAGCCTAGTGGGGTGGCTCAGTTTTTCTTTTCCATGATAAAACAAGGCGGTTGAGATTTTAAAAGAAAATTTCACACAAGCCAAGTATCCAGCCTATAACTCTGCTACATTTCCAAAAGTCCTAATTCTCTCAAGTGTTGGTATTTTTTCTACACTAAAAATTCCATGGTCATAAGACAGTGAAACAAGGAAGTTTTAGATCTTGAGAGGTAGGAGAATGGCCTTTTCATTCTCACCACTGCTCAGCAAATGGGAGATGTAATATAAACTCTTTGATACTAACATCCAAGACTTAAAAAGATATAATATTATATTTTTTCTTTGTAATTTCCTACCCCTTGTCCCACTGTCACCCTTACTCCCTCCTTCCCTGGTTCATTTCTGATGTAGCGACTGAATAGTATTGAAGTGGTTATAAATAAACTGATTTGGCACAGTCATTGTACCGCTGACTGGTGAAACATTGAGCCTGACACTTTAGGAAGTGTAAATGATCTCATGGCAGAAATAAAGATTATATTTGGTTTCTCACTGGGCAGAGTAAGGAGATTTTTTGAGGAAGGGTGCTGATCTTTTTGCATGTTTAAGTATATAAATGTTTTATGAGGTCTGTAGGTTAGAGCCAGTTACTACTAGAAGTACCTTCATAGTTCTGGGAGTTTAACTTTGGGATTCTTATGTTTTGAATTAAAGTCTTTATAACAAGTGGAATACGTAAGAGGACAATTTTTTGTGTTTTGACCATCCCAGAATGCATAAATGTAAATGTCTCTTGGACTTAATGGTCTCCTCTTTTTAAAAGTAGAGGAAGGCTTAAAAAAAAATCATGTAATTATGGTAATGTTTTTATAATAATGAAATGACAATAAATAAAAATTTATTTGAATAAAAATGAAGGATTTAAAAGCCACCTGAGTTTCATTCGAGGAAACTAATCTTCCTTAAAGCATACCATACTAGGATAGTCTTAACCTGCATTCATAAATACTTATTGGACATTAGTTCTTATTTCAATTCACAACATGCCCTTCCTTCCACTTTTCTTATTTAGATAGACTTCATATAAAATTCCCCATGTTAGTCATTTTGTGTACATTTCAGTGATTTTGAGTATAATCACAATACTATGCAACTATCACCACCATCTCATTTCCAAACGTTTTTATCGCTCCAGAAAGAAACTCCGTACCCTTTAATACTCACCTGCCCCTGGCAACCACTAACCTATGTTCTGTCTATGAATTTACCCATTCTGGACATTTCATATAAATGGAATCATACAATATGTGATCTTTTATATCTGAGTTCTTTCACTTAACACGTTCTTTTTCTAAATATATTTTTATTGATTTCAGAGAAAGGAGAGGGAGAGAGAAATAGAAATGTCAATGATGAAAGAGAATCATTGGCTGCCTCCTGCACACCCCCCACTGGGGATTGAGCCTGCAACCCCAAATTAAACCCAGGACCCTTTGGTCCTCAGACCAATCAATGCTCTAGCCACTGAGCCAAACCAACTGGGGTCCATTTAACATATTTTTAAGATTTATTATTATTATTGCATGTATCAGTACTTCATTCCTTTTTATGGCTGAATATTTCATTGTATAGCTAGTAAACATTTTGTTTATCCATTCATCTATTGGTCGACATTGGACTTATTCCACTCTGGCTTTCTGAATAAAACTATGAATATTCATGTACAGGTTTTTTATTTGAACACTAGAGGCCCGATGCACGAAGATTCGTGCAAGAATGGGCCTTCCTTCCCCTGGCTGCCGGCACCGCCTTCACTCTGGCCCGGAGCCGCCTTTCTGCCTTCATTCCGGCCTGGAGCTGCCTAGAGGCCCGGAGCGGCTGGGGTGGTGCAGAACGCCATGGCGACGACGCAGGCGTCCCGCCCCACCCCACCCCCACCGCTTGGCGCCTGTGTATGCAAATTAACCTGGCATCTTTGTTGGGATAATTTGCATGCTCACTCCTGATTGGCTGGTGGTCGGCATGAAGGTATGGCCAATTTGCATATTTCTCTTTTATTAGTGTGGATGTTTTCAATTCTCCTGGGAGAATATACCTAAGAGTAGAATTGTTGGGTCATATGGTAATTCTATGTTTGGCTTTTTGATGTTTTCATTTTTAATGCTGTGTAAAGTGCCTATGGTAATTATTCAACAAATGCTGGCTTTTATTATCATTATTATTCCTACCTTATTACCAAATTGTAAAAAGTTTTTCTAGGGCATCTAGGCTTTGTTTTTTCTCTTAGATCCTATAGATAAATGCAGTAATGTACATACATTCTACTGGTAGATGTTTGATTTTCTTTTGGAAATTTATTTTGATCTTTGAGTACACGTTTAGGTTCTTCTAGGTATTATAATACCTGGAAACTGAGGAAGGGGTTGTATCATGAAATGAAAAGCTAGAGGCAACAAGCAGAGTAAACCAATGGAAAATAATATGTTTCTACCAGGGAGGGTCAAGAGGGCATGAGGATTTCCTTTTCCTTTAAATTTGCTTCTATAAGACCTGCTTGGGTCTTGGGTGATTAGAAACTTAATGGGCTGGGACCCATTAGTAGAGGAGGAAGGAGAATTTCTGTGGCTATTCAGATAGTTAAAGACTATCTTGAAATATGCTAACTCGTAGGAGAATAAGTTATTGTTGTCTGTGACATTGTAGGAGTAGGCAGTAAGTGAAATCCTTTCAGATAGTACTCAGAAAAAGCTTCCTTTCTGTTAAACTTTTATTGACACAGCAAGGCAAAGTAGACTCTGTTCTTTGTCTTCTTTTGCTCTTTGAATCATTATGTATGTGCCATTTAACCCGAGAGAGGAGTAGTAATAAGTTGGGTAACCTTATGATTCGATGTGTCAAGTCTTTTCACTATAATCTGAGGAATCTATTAAGTTTTCTTAGCCATATTCACAAATACTCTTTCCAAAGTTGCTTCCACTTTTTCTATAAAAATGAGCAATGATTCAGAGCCTCAGGAAAATGACGAGAATTTCTCTTTTTCAAACACACGTGCTAATAATAATTATGTGAGTTTGTTCTTCATATTGTGCTGATCAATTCCTGTGGCCTCTGAAAGATTAATAGCTCTTGAATCAGACAGCTGTCAAATAGATATTACTATTGGCATCCAATGAGGGGGGAAATAGGATTCTTAATCACATGTGTAATACTTCAAAGTGTGACCTTTTTTATACATTAAATTGTGGCAATACTTACTTGAAATTTCAAGGTTTCTTTAAGCAAATTAACTGAAATAAAATTTTGGAGGAGTTTTTCTTCCAAAAATGATATCAAAGGGCCATGTAAAATAGAGTTTATATCCTTCAAAAAGAAGGGGCATAACTTTAGACTTTGGTAAAAGTCAGTCAGTCTTCTTTTGGAAGAAAGACTATCCTCTTATCCCAAGAATGTTAATAGCTTGTCTCAGGTACCTTAAGGAAATATATAGTTCATATAGTATTCCTGGAGGTAGCTGGCTAGAGAAAATCTAAAAATGTCTAGGGTATGTAAAAGCAGGATTCTACTTGAAGTGCACTACCTAGCAGATGAACCTCATCCTTCCATAAAGTTTACCAGCTTAGAGGTAAGGGACAATACCATTTTGAGTTTTAGTCAAAATATATAGAGATATATATAAAATATAGATAATCCTGATTAGAAATAAGACCTGTACTGGTATCTAAACTCATTATTTACTTATTTGGCTGTTTTCTCAGATCAATGATAAAAATACTTCGATTGCCCATTGGGACTCTTTTTCTAAGTTATAACTAAAGCATGCCTAGGGGCCTTTGGTAGCAACCCTAAAGATCTCTATGGCACAAATATGAAAAGATTCAAAGCCTTTATGTGGGAGTCCTAACACTGTTCTGCTGACATTTCTTTTTGATGGTCTGCTAGGTGTCCACACCCTGGCATCCTCCAACTCTGCTCCTGGGTCATTCTCAAGAGGTCACATCTGTGTGCTGGTGTCCATCAGATTTCACAAAGGTTTGTAAACAAATCTCCATAGTTGGATTAAAAAATAGATCATAGATTTGTATGTTTTCTCAAGGTTTAGTTTGAATTACATAGATTTTCATGCTTAAATATTTAAAAGATCTAGAGGCCAACCAGTGTTTATATCAGCATCAGAGTTATTCCTTTCCTAAACATAGAATTACGTTTTTAACATAATTAAAATTAAATTTTATAAGGTAAAAAAATCTAAGGTGAGAACTTGTTTGTTTTTAACTTTTCTACATATAAATGTGGTAACATCTTCACTATTCTTCACAGTCCAGCTTAGATTTTTCACATGCCTAAAAAATGCTTAGTGTGAAGTTTTACAGTGTTAGGCTATCTGTGATTAAACTACACAAGAAGTAGTTCCAAAATGTTCAGACACTGGAAAAAAGAAAATACTCTCACTTAAATTTTTTTAATAGTGAAAACAAATTTTAAAACCCTGAAATATAGAAAGGCCAGAAACAAACAAATCCCTATTAGTATATGTAGGGATTTTATATAATACTAGCCCCAGTTCCACTCATTCTTCTACCCTCTACTGCCTCTAGTCTTTGGGTTATTCTAGGTTTATAGGAAATCTCAATTATGTAGAGATCTCTACTTTCTCATTTTGACATTTTAAGGTTTTGACATTTGCCTATTTTACCATCTGTTTTTTATCTTCTGGGAACTTTTCATGGTCTAGTTTACTCCTGGCATCCCTCCTAATAGCCCTGTATGACCATTTCTGTGGTCAGCTTCATGATGGACCTTTTTTTGAAATCATTACTTTAATTACCAATAATTACATTGACATTACACTAGTGACATTTGTCCTTTGAGATTCCATTCTTACAGTAAAATATCTCCTTTTAACATGAAATTCTGTGTCATCTTAGAACTTACTTAGATGGTTTTTAAATTATTCAGTTATGTCATCTCTTTGCAACCATCATATGTTGCCCTTATCTCTACACACAGAAAGGATTCAAAAAAGTGGCAGGGTAGTTTACCAATACTAATCTAATAACCTCCTTTTTAAAAAGTTTGAAATAATTTTGTCCCTAGCATACAGTTAAGAAGGTAAAATATGGTTTTAAAAATAAAAAGGTCTTGCCTTTGAAATTGGAAAAATTTGTATGTAGATCTGCCACTCAATTATGGTGATCTTTGGCAAATAATTTTATTCCTATTTTGTAGGTGAGATTATTTAAGTACAAGTATTTTTATATTGTGAGAATTAAATAAGATAAAGAATGCAAATTGTCAAACACACGGTAGGTGCCCTATAAATAATAACTCTTGTTAACAGACTGTAGAGTAACTGGAGATTCCAGGCATTTTTTCTTGAGCAGTTAAATATGTGTGTCTTCTTTTGGCCTCCCATTAAGGAAAGGAAAAAGCTGCCAGTCTCTTGGGGCCAAGACTTAAGAGAACGTGTGTTCTTTTTTTTTCTATCTCTTTAGTGACTGAAATAGAGAAATTATATAAACAAATGCTCTGGTACCAGTGGCCATTTGCCACAAGCTCTTCTAGTTGGACTTTCTCTGCCATAAAAGGCTTGGGACCAAGATCAGGAATGGTCAGATATTTTTAAAGGGGCAAAGGTTATTTTTAACTTCTTTCAGCCCAGTGAACTTGTTTTCCCAGATTGCTCCTTTACCTATCTGAAGAAAAATCAAAAGATTGGTTTCATTCAGCTTATCACAGCCTACTAGAGTCATGTACTAAGTCTGATCTTGGAAATTATCCCATTACTTTGGCAATAAGCCAGAACATGCAGAATTCAGAGGAAAGTCATTGAAATTGAATGTTGGGGGCATACACTGATTGATCATTTAAGAGAAAGAGAAAGCAAAAAGAATATCTTAATTAAATATTTCATAGTTGCATGGAGGTGATAAAGATAATGACTTGCCCAACTTCTTGACAATAAAATGCACCTGGTTTATAGTAGAGCTTTAGGTTAATAAGAAATGACTGGTAACAAAAGACATACCAGCAGAATGTATATTAAAATGAAACTAGAGAATTGACTTTGGAAATCTGCAATGATTCCTCAAAGCAAGGAAGAGGAATATATGATCTTTCAGATGCCATTTTCTATATCCTATTATATCAAACAAAATAATTTTCCAGTCATGATGAGCCTTTAGACATACCTACTTTTTACTTTGTTGTGAATCTTTGATTAAAACGTCTTAACTCCCTTTCTGATTCTTAGATTGCTACCTGCTCTGATGACAATACACTGAAAATCTGGCGCTTAAATAGAGGCTTAGAGGAGAAATCAGGAGATAAATTGTCCACAGTGGGTTGGGCCTCTCAGAAGAAAAAAGAGGCTAGAGCTGACCCAGGTAAGGATCCTGTACATTTTTTCTACATGTTTTATGGTTTGATTGGTTTAGTTCTGCAGTACAGAGTGTTAAGCTAGAATTGATGTTTGGTATATATATATATATATTTTTTTTTTAAATATATATTTTATTGATTTTTTACAGAGAGGAAGGGAGAGGAATAGAGAGTTAAAACATCGATGAGAGAGAACCATTGATCAGCTGCCTCCTGCACACTCCCTACTGGGTATGTGCCCGCAATCAAGGTACATGCCCTTGACCGAACTCGAACCTGGGACCCTTGAGTCTGCAGGCTGACGCTCTATCCACTGAGCGAAACTAGTTAGGTCTTGGTATATTTTTAAAGAAAAGCATCTTCTTGACATTCTTTTCAATAAATATTTTCTGAGTACTACTGTTTATCATCTATATAAGATACTTCAATACAGTGGTGGTTTTATTTGTAAAATATTTATTGAACACTTGCTAGGCACTGTTCTAAGTTGAACAAAACAGTCCTGAATATAAAAAATGCTAATGAAGGTTACATGTTAGTGTGAAAGGCAATAAACAAGTTAAAGAAGTAAATTATGTACTATGTCAGATCACAGTAGTGCTTAGGAAAAATGAAAGCAAGGAAGGGAGATTGGCAAAGTGTGCTATTAAAATTTTAAATTAGGTGCCCAGGGAAACCTCAGTGAAAGATGATATTTAAGTGAAGGAAGTAACCTCGCCCATGTTGCTCAGTGGTTGAACCAGGAGGTCACTGTTTGATTCCCAGTTAGGGCACATGCCCGGGTTGTGGGCTCAATCCCCAGTAGAGGGTATATAGGAGGCAACAGATCAATGATTCTCATTATTGATGTTTCTATCCCTTTCTCCCTCTCCCTTCCTCTCTCTGAAATCAATAAAAACATTTTTTTTTTTTAAGAAGTAAAATAGTGGACCATGTGGATATTTTGTCAGGCAAAACAGCAAATACAAAGGCCCTGAAGCAGGAGCAGGCCTGGCATACAGGTTAGGGCAAAAGTAGGTTTACAGTTGTGAGTATGAAAAATACAAAGTTTATTCGTATATTATTATTTATTAATTGTATTGTTTTCCATACAGACAACTGTAAGCCTACTTTTATCCACCCTGTATTAACATACATAAATGCACCCATTTAAAGTCTATAGTTTAGTGGTCTTTAGTATATCAGAGTTGGGCAATCATCAGCACAGTCTAATTTTAGGGTATTTCAACACCTGAAATGAGGGCTACAATTTCTTCATATTTTTACTAACATTTGTTTTTGTTCATCTGTTTGATTTTAACTATCCTTGTGAGTTCGGTGAAGTGGTATTCCATTGCAGTTTTGATTTGTATTTCCCTGATGGCTGATGATGATGAACATCTTTCATGTGCTTTTGTATATTTTTATATTTTGTATATTTTCTTTGGAGAAATAACCTGTGTGGATCCTTTGCCCATATTTTAATTGGGTTATTTCTCTTTTTATTGTTGAGTTGTAAGCATTCTTTATATATTATGGGTATATTCCTTGTCATATAATAATTTTCAAATACATTTTTCTTATTCTGTAGGTTGTTGTTTTTTTCTTCACTTTATTGGTGGTGTCCTTCGACACACAAAAATTTCTAACTTTGATGAAGTACAATTTATCTCTCTTTTGTCATTTGTGTTTTTGATGCTGTATTCAAGAAGCCATTGCCTATCCTAAGTTCACAAAGATTTACTCCCTATTTTTTCTTCTAGCTAAGAGTTGTTTTATTTTAAAACTAGTTCATTTTGTATTATTTTTGTCTACAATGTGAGGCAAGGATCCAAATTCATTCTTTTCTTGTGGATATCTAGTTTTTTCTCAGTATCGTTTATTTTAAAGAGACTATTCATTACCCCATTGAATTGTTTTTCCATCCTTGCCAAAAATCAAATGACTATAAATGTAAGGCTTTGTTTCTGGACTCTCAATTCTATTTCATTGATCTATATGTCTGTTCTTATGCCAGTACCACATTGTCTTGATTACTGTAGCTTTGTAGTAGGTTTTGAAATTGGAAAGTCTGAGTCTCCAATTTTCTTCTTTTTCAAGATTTTTTTTTACTATTATGGGTCTCTCTTATTTCTATACAAATTTTAGGACCAGTTTGTCAATTTCTGCAAAATAGCTCCCTGGGCCCTAGCCAGTTTGGCTCAGTGGATAGAGCGTCGGCCTGTGGACCAAAGGGTCCCAGGTTTGATTCCCGTCAAGGGAACGTAACTTTATTGCAGGCTCCTCCCCGGCCCAGGCCCTAGTAAGGACTCGTGCAGGAGGCAACCAATCAATGTGTTTCTCTCATTGATATTTCTCTCTGTGTTTCCCTCTCTCTTCCACACTCTCTAAAAATCAGTGGAAAAATATCCTCAGGTTTGGAGTAACAAAAAAACAACAACAAAAAATAGCTCTCTGGGATTTTGATAGGGATTGCGTTGAATGTGTAGATCAGTTTTATTCGTATTGTCATGTTAATAATGTTGTCTTCTGATCCATGTATATGGGATGTCTGGCTGCTGTCTTGTCTTTATATGGACTTTTCCTAATTTTAGAAAACATAAAAGAAGAATCATATGAAGAAAGGGCTATCAGTATTTCTACCATTCATATATAATTTTAACAATTTGAGGGTTTTTCCAATTTTTTTCCTTTATCCACAGAGATTCTTAACAGTCATAATAATATTATATATACATTTGCATTTCTTGGGGATTTTTTCCACTGAACGTGCTCTTCTAAGCACCTTCTGTTATCTTTTTAACAAAACGTGTAAAATAGTCCACTCTTCTCTTATAGTTGGACATTTTGTTCCCAATACTCTGTGAAATTTTTTTCTGAATTTAGGGTCCCCCCTTCCATTAAAATAAATTCCCAGTGGTGGAATTTTATGTCAATGGCTGTAACCATTTTAAGATTTTAGGTGAAAAGTATGTTGCTTTTAATGTTAATATTTAGTGTGTCATTAATTATTCTTACTTTTGGAAGCCAAGTCACACAAAAAGTTCCTCATATGGACCAAATTTGGACCATCATAATAACAACAACATATAGCCATTATTGAGTACTAGCACCATTGTTTTAAGGACCTACTTGGATTATTTAATTCCCAAAATAACTGAAACTGAAGCTCAAGGAAGTTAGATTTGTCTAAGATCACACAGCTGTGAAGTTGAAGTACAACTAGAGTTCAAAGCTTGCAGTCTGATTCTAGAGCATATACTTGGAAACACTGGAGTATTGCCTTCTTTAGAAACCCACACAGCAAAGTTAAGTTCAAGTTAAGACCAGATCAGGACTTATACCTAGATTTCTCTTATTTCTGGGTGATGTTGGAGTTATTCTGAAGAGCACTACAGGGTAACAACCTGACATGAGTGCCAAAGGCTGGCACACTGGCCATTAAATCCTGTAAGCCACCATCCAGCAACAGACATTTTGAAAATTATGTTCCTCTGCTTTCCCAAGCTTCTAATGGCCACCCAACTTCTCTTGCTTGTCCTGGACTGCATATCTTCTCTCTGGCCCATTTAACACAGCAGCTGAAAGGCTTTAAATCCCAAGACCCTCTGCCCTACTTTTCCTAGCCAATACCTGCTCTGTGGCTATTATTTCACTATTTCAGCCAGAGATCTGACAAGGCCAATGGTTCTCAACCCTGGCTGTACATCAGAACCACTTGTGGAGTTTTTTAAATGTTTGAGCGTCCCAGAGATTGTTCAGTAGGTCTGGGGTGGAGGCCAAGTACCTGTATTTTTATAAAACTCCAAGTCTGGTATGCAGCCAGGATTGAGAACCTCTGGTCTAGGCATTATTGAGTACAAAAATGATTACCCTTATCTGGAAGAGAAGGAAACCTTACCTGTTCTATCTTAAGTGCTTGCTGCAGTCTCAAAAGTCAGCAGAATACTTACAAAGACTTTTTTTTCTTAATGCCTGGAACCTCACCCTCATCCCTCTCAGCAGTCCTGAGATTTAACAAACATTGTTTAATAATTCCTGACTAGCTACATTTTAGGCACTGGACCTAAAAATGACTAAAGCATCATCACCTGCCCTCTAGGTGCTTGCAATTTAGTCCAGGAGGCAGATTAAAAAAAAAAAAAAAAGCTATATAGTACATTCTAAACACTCCTAGCTGTATAAACAAAAGGCTCTGAAAACGCATTTCCTATGGGAGAGAAGGAAAGAAGTTTGTGAATTCTATGCAGTTGTCATCAGAGCCTGGAAACGTGAGGAGAATTTTTGCCTGGCAAAAAAGGGGCAGAGTTGGCAAGAAAACCACATAAAAACAGAGATGTGACAGTGCACAGCTTGTTCAGGAAGCAGTGAGTAGTCAGTCTCCTGTAACAGGATCCTAAAGTAGCATAGTTCGTGATAAGGTTGAAAAGGTAGAGTCAGGCCAGATGGCACACCCTTATGTAGAAAGAAGCTACAAATTAACTGATTATTGTAAGCTTTACCATAATTTCTCGAAGGAACTAACTTTTAGGAAGCCTTTAGAGCAATAACCCAGTCTATAATGTGTCATCAGACCTCTTGTAGTGTTTAAGGTTAATAGGGGTTGATTCACTTAAGTAGATGAAGTACTAAATGGTATATTTTATTTGAATCTATATGCCAATAAGGTGCCATACTATCCAGCTGGTAAAAAATAAAAAAGAGTAGTATTTCTAAGTGTACTTTCATGAAACGATATAAAGAGAAAAAGATATACTGTTCAGAGAAAAGAGCAAACTGCAGAGCATGTGTGTTTAATAATCCATTGTGGTCTTTTTAAGGTATATTCATATTCCTTTGTTTTGCTAGTAATAAGCACATAAAAAAATTGAGGAATGCACATAAAAGAGAAATGAGAAGGTTGAAGAGAAGACTTTTATAATCTCATTATAGTTAAAAATAAAGGATTTGAATTTGACCCAGAGTTTAAGCTCTGTTAAGCTTCAAAGTTAACAAAAACTTATCTTTGACCCCCATGGTTTACTCCTTTCTTCATTATAACATCTTGAAGGAAAAAGTAATGCTCCAGTTTTCCACCACATCAGATTTCCCACTGACCTTTAATAAACACTTCAGGTGTCTGCCACTTAAGTAACAGAAACTTATACACCTGCTTTGTCCTTGGCCCGGCTTTTCCTTCTCCCCTAATCCTGCCTATGAATCTTCGTGTTGTAAGACTCATACTATTTCAGGACTTTCTGCCCTAAACGTACACTTCCTCCCATTTTAATGACACTAATGACTGCCAGGGCTGTGCAGTGACTGTTGACTTGCACTGAGGAGTGAAGCAAATGAAAAGTTTCTTTCCTTTTGAAATAATGACTGTAATCAAGCTCTAGAGCAGGAATGTGAGACCTATCACCAGTAGCTCCATGGACAGGTCCCTATCTCTAGTTCCCCTTGTATAGTACATTATAACAAAATGGGGTTTTCTAGTAATGATCTTTATTGAAGGTGCAGTATCATTTTGGCCATTTCTAAACACATAGTTGATGAGAAAAGTTTAGGCAAAATTCAATTTGTAGAATTTCTCTACCTTAAGACATTGCGGACAGATCACGAGAATTCTCGCTTCATATTACAGTGTTTTACAAAGCATCATACTTTAAAAAGATATTAGTTTGTAAGAATATGTAATAAATAACTTCAAAATGCACTGGGTATTTAATTTTAAAGCGTGCCTTTAACATTTATGTAAAATGTTTTCTGTACTCGTTCAATAGAAACTTGAGCTATGTGGCCACTGGGTAAAGCTAGCAATAAAACTACTGGTCTGCAATGTGTTAAGGCAAGGCATATTGAGAAGTGAAAAGCACACGTAAAATGCACAGAGTAACTAAATGACTGAAATTAGTAAAAAAAATTTTTTTAATATATTTTATTGATTTTTTACAGAGAGGAAGGGAGAGGGATAGAGAGTTAGAAACATCGATGACAGAGAAACATCGATCAGCTGCCTCCTGCACACTCCCTACTGGGGATGTGCCCGCAACCAAGGTACATGCCCTTGACCAGAATCGAACCTGGGACCCTTGGGTCCGCAGGCTGACGCTCTATCCACTGAGCCAAACCGGTTAGGGAAGTAAATTTTTATTCCAAATAAAAGATTGTATTTTTATGTCAGCCCATTCTAAATTCAGTTGCATATAAATGCAATTCAATAATTAAACTAAGTTAAATATCAGAGTTATAATTCAAAGACTTAGTGACTGAGAAATAGGTGACCTTATTATTTGAAGACAGAAACACTACACTAGAAATCAGGGGAAATTTGAGAAAATATAGTGTTGTCTGTGGTGAGGCCTAAGGGGGAAGAAATGTGAAGTTTATAAGAATTTGCCTGAAATACTTGCCGTTGCCTGTAAACAAGTGCCAGGACATATAGAAAAGAGTTCTCTCCACTGCTTCATGTGCTTTAAGAGAGCAAGCATTGAGTTTCTGAAATGTTCTTTGGCATATTTTGGCGTGTGGAGTAGAGTAGCCATGTGTAAATTAAGGTGGAAAACCACATGAGGCCTGGTAACCTTAAGTAATTGATGGAATTCTTGTGGAAATTAAAAACATCTCTAGCCCTGGCCGGGTAGCTCAGTTGGTTAGAGCACAGTTCCTATATGCCAAGGCGGAAGGTTCAATCCCGGGTTATAGCACATACAAGAGTCAGTCAATGAATGCATAAATACGAAGAACAATACATCGGTGTCTGTCAACCTCCCTCCTCCTCCCTCCCTTCCTCTCTCTAAAATCAATAAAAAAAATTTTTAATTATTTTTTAAAACTATGTTTTAACTTAAGGACACTGAGGCAGCGGAGTAAGGGGTTGTTTCTCAAGTCACATAGTAAATGATTGTGCCTGATTTTATTTTTTTTATTTATTTTTATTTTTTTAAATATATTTTATTGATTCTTTACAGAGAGGGAGGGAGAGGGATAGAGAGTTAGAAACTTCGATGAGAGGGAAACATCGATCAGCTGCCTCCTGCACACTCCCCACTGGGTATGTGCCTGCAACCAAGGTACATGCCCTTTACCAGAATCGAACCTGGGACCCCTGAGTCCGCAGGCCGACGCTCTGTCCACTGAGCCAAACCGGTTCGGGCGGTTGTGCCTGATTTTAGACCTGTGCGCTCTTATTTGACAGCTCCTCTCTGCCCTAACATTGCTCAGAAGTATATATAGGAATGCTAATGGCAACTTTCCTTATGAAGACAAAATATCATTAGCAACCTAAATGTTTTACTGTTACCTAAGAATACTTTGTAGCTTCTAAAAGTTATATAAGTCTGTATTAATGTGGGAAATGTTCATACTATGTTAAGAAGCAGGTTACTAAACAGTATATACATTAGTCCCATTTTCTAGAGAGAAAAATTTAAAGTGTATAATATATATTACATGAACAAGTAAAGGAAAAAAAACACTAAAAGTGGTTCACCTAGATGCTTTTAATCTAATTTCTGAATTTTCTAGATTTTTACAAATATATGTTTTACCATGGGGTGGTTGGGAGGCTGGCAGTTAGGAAAGGGGAAGGAAAATGCTAAGAGGATGTGGTAAGAATCAAATGATTTATGTGATCAACTCACTGGGAAATCAACCCCTGGATGATTAAGTTAGCTGTAATTTTCTTTGATGCTAGTTCATGGATTTTCTTGGGCTTTCACTTCTGATTTTTGTGACCCTCTTTTCTTTTTCAGTAACAGTGACAAATAGCCAGAGTACTCCTGCCAAAGCCCCCAGAGTAAAGAGCAGTCCATCTAGTTCCTCCCCTTCCTCAGCATCTTGTGCTCCAAGCTGTGCTGGAGACCTCCCTCTTCCTTCAAATACTCCCACATTTTCTATTAAAACCTCTCCTGGCAAGGCCCGGTCTCCAATTAGCAGAAGAGGCTCCATCTCCTCCATCTCTCCCAAGCCACCTTCATCTTTCAAGATGTCCATTAGACATTGGATCACCCAAACACCTTCCTCATCACCACCCATCACTCCACCTGCTTCTGAGACGAAGATCACATCTCCAAGAAAAGCCCTCATTCCTGTGAGCCTGAAATCATCCCAAGCAGTGGCTTGCTCTGAGTCTAGAAATAGGGTAAAGAGGAGGCTAGACTCAAGTTGTCTGGAGAATGTGAAGCAAAAGTGTGTGAAGAGTTGCAGCTGTGTGACTGAGCTTGATGACCCAGTTGAAAAGCTTCATTTGGATCTGTGCTGCCTTACTGGTAACCAGGAAGACCTTGGTAAAGACTCTCTGGGTTCTACCAAATCAAGCAAGATTGAAGGAGCCAGTATGAGTGTCTCAGAGCCTCCTTCTCCTGCCAGTCCTTATGCTTCAGAAGGCTGTGGGACACTGCCTCTTCCTTTGGGATCTTGTGGAGAAGGGTCTGAATTGGTGGGCAAAGAGAATAGCTCCCCAGAGAATAAAAACTGGTTATTGGCCATGGCAGCCAAACGGAAGGCTGAAAATTCGTCACCACGAAGTCCATCATCCCAGACTTCCAATTCCAGGAGACAGAGCGGAAAGACTTCTCCAGGCCCGGTAAGCAGCAAAGGGAAGATGCATTTCCTAATTTGAACAGGGCAGGTACAGATTCCTTCTCAGAAATCAGGATGCTTTTTTTTTTTAAGCTAATTATTTTAGGATTGCTAGACTTAGCATATATAAGTATACAGGACAAATTTATACTAAATTTGTACATATTTATACTAAAAAATTATTTGTTGTTTGTTTGAAATTCAAATGTAACTGGGTGTGTGCTGTATTTTTATCTGGTAACCCTATTTATTCCCATGAAAATCACTTCTGTCAAGGTCCATGCCCCTCAACCCTGTTGCCTGATTCATCAAAGCCTCCTCATCCTCCAGGATATCAATTCAAAAATATCTTCCCTGTCCTTTGACATTATTTCCTCCCTGCCCCCTTTTTTTCTTATCTTCCCCCCACCCCCAAGCCCTTGGCAACCCTTTTTGTAGACACCCTCCCAGTTTTACAGATAAAGCTGTACTTCATGGGCAAGTTGCCAGTATCCATAAATAGATTACCAGTTTGTAATTAGTTTATGATTATTTAAAATAAAGTCAAACAGGCCGAGGCCGGTTTGGCTCAGTGGATAGAGCGTCGGCCTGAGGACTGAAGGGTCCCAGGTTCGATTCCGGTCAAGGGCATGTACCTGGGTTGCGGGCACATCCCCAGTGGGAGATGTGCAGGAGGCAGCTGATCGATGTTTCTCTCTCATCGATGTTTCTGACTCTCTATCTCTCTCTCCCTTCCTCTCTGTAAAAAATCAATAAAATATATTTTAAAAAAAATAAAATAAAATAAAATAAAGTCAAACAGGTATCTGCAAAGCAATTTTAAGTGCAGAATCCTTTTAGATTTTAATGATTATCCCTAATCTCTTATAGTCGTCTTGCTCACATCAATGTTTGGCAACTCATATGTATCTACACTTTTTTAAACATTCAGCTTAGCTTTACTTATCTCTTTAGGGCTCATATTTAATTGGTTGATATACTATTTAAGTTAGATAATTTTAAAAACAGATACTGCTGGTTTATGAACCTTAAAAAGCAAGTGACTCATAACGGTTTAGGCAGAAGTAGCTGTGAGCATTAGGTGAGCTGTGGGCACCAATCAAAGGGAATAAAGATTCTGTTAATCAGTTTGTAAGTTAAGGGGAGGTGAGTTAAGGAAGTTTCTGCCGTACATGGGAGCTCTTGCTCTGTGTTAAGAAGAAGGTGTGGTAGAATGATTAAAATCCAATCCAGGAATCATGATCAACATCTGCCCCTTTATTATTTTGTATTATTATTATTTTGTTAATCCACACTCGAGGATATATCTATCAATTTTAAGGGAGGGGGAGAAAGAAAAAGAAACATCAATCAGTTGCCTCTTGTACATGCCCCAACTGGGAATCAAACCTGCAACCTTTGGTGTACAGGACAGTGCTCCAACCAACAGAGCCACCCCACTGGGCTTCAATCTGCCCTTTTAAAAGATAGAAGCTGGATAACTTGGGCCAGGTCAGTAAATGTTTATACCACCCACCTACTATCATGAAGCCTATCCCATATTTTAGGAGTAAACTAGAAATATTTTAAAGATTCTTTGAACACAAACTCCAATTAAACCTTGCAACAGAACATTTTTTTTTTAATGCTATAAGGAGTCTTTCCTTCTCAATATCATCACTGTATCTGTTCTTTGCCCCTAGCCAAAATTTCTGTTAAGACAGAAAGAGGGAGGGAAAGGAAAATTAAAAGAATGAATTATTTCAGGCAAGGTCACCTTTCCTTAGGAGAAGGCAGGGGGTCTATCAAGCAGATTGCCTCCCTGGTACTGATCAGGAAATTCCAGATTGACTGGTTAAAGGTACATTCCTGGGAGAGGCTGAAACTGCAAATAGGTTATGTATTGCTAGTTGTAGTTTGCTGTGGTGGAGCTTAGCACATGTGACTCCATTTTGGGCCAGTTGTCTCTAACACTGGTTTTATTTTTTTTTAATCTTTGAAGCTAAAGTTTCTTTAAAAGATTTTTCTTTATGTACATGATAATAATGTAGACTTCTTTAAAAGAGAGTAGCAGCTGTCATTTGCATACCTGTCTAGTTTGTACGTTTGGGAGGGTCATTTACTCATTTCAAAGAGGATGGTAATTTTAATCTCTTTGGTTCCTATTAGGAGGTTTAACTGGTAAATATTTTCTGTTCACAAGAAAAGCCCGTGCCTTCATTCCTTGCATACTGTCTGTTAAATTTTTACTATATTCAGTACAAATCAACCAAAAGAGGCATTGTCATCCAAGTATTTGGATCAAATTTCTAGGCATCCTAACTTTTAAAATAGCTGTTCATGATAACTTGCTTGAGTAACAGCTGGACTTTATCTTAGAAAATGTCTGAAATCTAAACTTTCTTCTTCTAGGTCACTATTACTCCCAACTCCATGAGGAAAATTTGTACATACTTCCATAGAAAGTCCCAAGATGACTACTGTAGTCCTGAACGGTCAACAGAATTATAGATCCTAATCTGAGTAAGTTAACTGAACTTTGGCCCATTAAAACAAGACAAAAATACAACAGAGTGACTCTATAACTCTGGTCTTTAAGAAAACTACCTTTTTTTTTTTTTTTTCATTTTTAGAGACAATCCTTTCAACTGAAATTTACCTAGTCTGGTTCTACTACCGTAATGTATATGCAGCTTCCTCACAATGAATGCTGTGTTTAAATTTCATAAACATTTTCAATAAGTAGTCTTCACTTTTTTAATTATGCATCTTCTCTACAATAATGACATCCCAGACTATAGAGATGAAAAACAAGACTTGTCTCTTGTTACTCTGAGACTTTGTATCCATAGTTTAAAGTATCTGCTGGCCATAGCAGGAAGCCTGTCTGTGAAGGCCCACTGCTAAAGAAGTCTTCTTTTGAAGACCCCTGGATCTGTGCTGCCTCAAGATAATATACTTGCATTTAAAATATATAATCTTTTCACTATACTTTTGGGTTTTTTTTAAGTATGTGTAAAAATGTTATGTTAAGATAAGTACATTTACAATAATTTAGCACATGATTCAATGATACAGTTCCTGTAGTTAAAATCATCTTTATTTTAAAAACAGTCAACTCTTTGGAGAAAGTAGAAAAACACTAGAAACTTTGTCTTTTTCCCCCAAAATATATCTCCTACACAAGATTTAAGTTCCTCATATTTTTGCTACGCAATCTACTGTTACGAACTCAACATCATGTTCTGTAAGAGGTTGTGATTTTTGCCATTTACAAGAGGAGATGTTTATAAACCTAGTAGTCATACACTGAAGCTGGGGTTTGAATTCAGTCCTCAGTTCTCCAGGTGCTGCAACTTTAAAAAAAAAAAAATAGGTCATCAGATTTTAAGAAAAAGTAACAGTTTCTTATTAATACTTTTATAAAAGTAGGTAGCTCTAAGCTGAAAATCCGGAACCTCAAAAATAAATCTTGGCTTTAACTTGCTTTTTTTGGCTTCTCTTCATATACATAAAAAGCAGTGGCCTTCTAATATAGCCCTGAGTCAAAAAGTTATCGGATTTTTTGTAGATATTTAATATAGAGTGTATAGACTAACTCTAAGTTATAATGTGCAAAATATTTTGAACATCCCTTCCCTTAATCAACAGTTACATATCAATCATCTTGAGATGAACTGTTGTTTTATATTTCCCCCCATTATAACCTTATAGAAACAAGCTTCATGTACTTTCTATGCGCTGTTGTCCTTGCAAGGGAGTCCCCTTCCAATCATGAAACTTGACTCATTTTATCTATATATCTGAGGACTATGGAGACTTCATTCATATATTTGTGATAATTTTCAAGTCTATTCTTAATGAAAACTCTTTAATTCTTCTGATTCTTATAAGTTAAGCTTGTCACTGCAAAGGTCAATTAAGCATGGGTTCTCTTGGTTTTATCCGAGGAGAAAAATAAGGGAAGCTATAAAATTGTCACTTCAAAGCAAAGCACACACTAGTATTAACTGAATATTTAGGAACTCTACATATATCTGTGTTTTTATTTTTGAGTATTAGACTGTGGGAAGGTATTTATGACCAATACTTGCAGGTAATGCTCTCTATCTATCCATCTTTTGATTTGAAAGCCAGTAGGGAAAATAATCCTTGAAAAAGAAAAGGATAACTAAAATAGATGATTTTGTTCTTTGTATCCCTGCACATCTCCTGACAGCTCTACTGAGTGAAATTGGGGTAAATGTGGCTGTCAGAAGCTATTGAGAAGCTGCTGGGTATAACATGTCTCACTTGGAAAACTAGTACTTCAAATGGGTGCCAAAGGTCAAATGTAATGAGATAATTATCCCTGTTTGTGTCAATGTCATTCTTTGAGCTGATCCTGAATAATAAAGCCTTTTACCTTATCTGATGTCCTCTTCTGAGCTTTTTGCATTAATTTAGAAGCATGCTACACAAAAGAACTATAGTAGTAATCAAGAATCCTTTCTACTTGTTCATTGAATAAAAGTTATTCAAGGATATGATCTAGGTCAAGCTGAAAGAGGTTTTGTTTTAATACTTTTTGTGCCCTAGCCAGTTTTGCTCAGTAGTTAGAGCATCGGCCCACGGACTGAACTGGGGTTTGATTCTGTGTAGGGGCTCTTGGGTACCTGGGTTGCAAGCTTGGGAGGCAGCCAATGGATGTGTCTCACATTGATGTTTCTCCCCCTCCCTTCCACTCTCTCTTAAAAAAAAAAAAAAGGAAAAAATATCCTCGGGTGAGGATTAACATAAATAAACAAACAAACAAACTAATTAATTAATTAATTAATTAAATACATCTTGCTTAATCAGACCTTGAGCACTACGATGGCTTGGATTACTTGATGAAGGAGGATGGAGTGATGTAGTTGTTTTTCTAAACAAGTATTTCCAGCCCAAGCTTTTCCATTTGAATACACTCCAAGTACTATTGCTGCGATGCTGGATTAGTTTCCTTTTGGCTGTTTTAACACAGGCCCTTAATTTACTTTTTTGAGGGTTCACTAATTAATCCTTTAAAATGACTCTTGTCATCTTGGCTGCACATTTAACTGATGATAATCAAGACCATCTGTAGCTAACCCTGTTGGACTGGCAGAGGGTGGGTTCAGCCCTTCACCCCCACACTCAGCCTTAACAGCTTAAAACTTCACCAAAGACTTTTGGGACAGCCTGTATAGGAAGCATTTTTTAAAGCCTCCACTGTGTAATATGGATGCCTTTAAGTGTATGTATGTGTGTGTCTATAGCCATGGTCTCTTATAGGTCACATATCAATTAAATATTTGAGTTTAGAAGCCTATCATGTAACAAACCCACTGCCGCTCTTAGGTCTGTTTTTCTATTTTCCTAGTCCCAAGATGGTCTGAACTTCTTTCACATTCCTCCTTTTTTAAAAAAAAAATTTATTGGAGTAACATTGGTTAATAGGGTTATATAGGTTTCAAGTATATATTTCTATGATATATGGTCTGTGTATTGCTTTATGTGTTTATCAGCCAAAGTCAAATCATCTTCTGACACCAAATATTGGGCTCCCTTTAACCCCACCACCATCCCCAACCCTTTCCCTCTGGTAACCACCATACTGTTGTCTGTGTCTATGAGTTTCGGTTTTATATCCCACACATGAGAGAAATCATACAGTTTTTAACTTTTTCTGACTGACTTATTTCACTCAGCATATTTTCAGGATCCATCCATGTTGTCAAAGTGGCAGTATTTTGTTGTTTTTTATGGTTGAGTAGTACCTATATGTACCACATCTTTATTTAATCCTCTATCGAAGGACACTTCGGTTGTCTTCATGTCTTGCCCATGGTGAGTAATGCTGCATTGAATATAGGGGTGCATATATCTTTGCTAATAAATGTATTTTAGTTTCTCTGGTAGATACCCAGGAGAGGGATTGCTGGGTCATATGGTAGCTCTATTCTTACTTTTTTTTTTTTAATCCTCACCCGAGGTTATTATTTTTTTTTTAAATATATTTTATTGACTTTACAGAGAGGAAGGGAGAGGGATAGAGAGTTAGAAACATCGATGAGAGAGAAACATCGATCAGCTGCCTCCTGCACACCCCCTATTGGGGATGTGCCCGCAACCAAGGTACATGCCCTTGACCGGAATCGAACCTGGGACCTTTCAGTCCACAGGCCAACGCTCTATCCACTGAGCCAAACCATTTAGGGCCCGAGGTTATTTTTAATTGATTTCAGAGAGAGAGACATTGATTGGTTGCCTCCCTAGGTTGCAGGTTCGATGCGCCCAGACCGGGGATCGAACCTGCAACCTAGGTATGTGCCATGACCAGGAATCAAACCCACAACCTTTTGGTGTACAGAATGATGCTCCAACCAACTGAGCCACCCAGCCAGAGCTATTATTAATTTTTTAAGACTTTTTTCTCATCATTTTCCATAGTGGTTGTATCATTCTACATTCCCACCAGCAGTAAATGATGGTTTGCTTTTCTCCACTGCCTCTCCAATACTTGTTACTACTTGTCTTGTTGATAATAGCCATTCTAAAAGGTGTAAGGTGGTATCTCATTGTAGTTTTGGATTTGCATTTCCCTAGTAGCTAGTGAGGTTGAACATCTTTTCATTTATTTTTGGCCATTTGTATGTCTTCTTGGTAGAAGTATCTATTCAGGTCCTCTGCCCATTTTTGTTATTGGATTGTTTGTTTAGTGTTGAATTGTATGAGTTCTTTATATATTTTGGATAATAATCCCTTGTTGGAGGTATTGTTTGCAAATACTATCTCCTATTTGATTGGTTGCCTTTTTGTTTTGCTGTGGGTTTGTTCACACTGCTCTTAAAGCAAAGACCCAGTGGTCTCACACAACTAGGTAGTGTGGGCAACATTTTACAGACGTGCAAAGAAGAGAGACTGAATGAGAATGTCATACAGTTGGTGCTCCGTATCCACGGGTTCAACCAATCTCTGATAGAACAATGTTATGTTGTTGGGGATATGCACTATGTAGTTAGGCCTACTATTAGTGCGTCCATACTCAATATGTACAGTCTTTTTACTCATTATTATTCCTTAAACAATACAGTATAACAACTATTTATATAGCATTTCATTGTATTAGGTTTTAGAAGTAATCTAGGGATTTGAGCACCCACAGATTTTGATTGGGGAGGTGTCCTGGAACCAATCACCCGCAAATACCAAGGGATGACTACTAGAGAAACTGAGTTATTGTCCTCTTTATAGCAATTAAGCACAGGTGGTTTCTGCTTCACAGTTTTATAAAGCAGCGGTCACCAACCAGTGGTCCATGGGGTCTGAAAGGTTGGCAACCGCTGTTATAAAGGTCTGAATATAGGCCCAGTTGAGCTCTTGCTTGTCAAATCTCACTGCTTCTCACACAGGTCTCATAGGAGATTCTTTGCCTGGCTAGGTTTAGATCATGCCATATCATGAATTAACCTCAGTTACTCATTACATTCTTGGGAATTATGGGAAAATCTGCATTATTCATTAGGTCCTTAGATATTGGTTGGAAATTATAGGCAGGCCAAACATAGCATTTTGTTGAACATGAGGTTGAGTGTAATACTTCATTAGATCTGATGCCAGGAATTAAGCCCAAAAGTCTTTTGAGTGAAGTTGTTTGTGAATAGCTATTATGTAGCAAGTGCTATCTAGATGCAGACTCTTCCCTCCAGAACTTGATTCAGCTGCTATTAAGAGCACCTTTAACTTTTCAAAGTAAAATGCTTTTCTCGTGTATATTTTTATTCTTTACAACATTATAAATAATATTAAAAATAGGACCTCTAAAGCCAAGCCGTCTAGCTTTGAACCCAAGCCCTAACTGTATGACCTTGAGCAAGTTCCTTAACCTCTGTGAATTGGTTTCCTGTTCTGTAAAATGGGATTGGGTGGTTATTACATGTACAACTTTTAGGACAGTTCCTGGTACACAATAGCTAACATTTACTAAACAATTATTATTAGAATTATTCTCATAAGGTAGGGAATGCAGGGGTTTTAATAAATGGATGTAAAGGTTTGAGTAACTTTTCAGTTTTCTTAACTCATTCCTGTCCCATTTTTACTGGAACTGTGGTCCTCAAAGGTATGTTGCCTGGGCCTCCCAGTTGTAGCACTTTTTAAAAGGTCAAGTAAGCCTCTGAGGGGGAAAATCTCCAGGTCCTCAGGTGTTTGAAATTCATGACTCTTTCGCACCAGGTTGACATGAAAAGAATAGAAGTTATTTCATATATATGGTCTCAGCCACTGTTTAAAGAGGCTATCATTTGCAAATCTGTATCCTGGACTCCTAAGCAAGCCAAAGCCTTTGCTCCCACAAAGCCCACCCTCCCATTTCCTGACTGCTGCCTCCAGCTCTGCTATAGTGTCTAAGATGTGTTCACCTTTAGGAAGGAAGCTACAGCTGCCAGGCCTTTAGACCCAGTACTTGATCACTTGTTAGGCTTTTGTGTTCCCTGGCTAGTCTGTAGGCAAATAAAATCAAAGAGGAGGTGCTCAATTAGTAGCTCTGATTTCGTAGGATATGAGTCAAACATTTGATTGAGGAGTATTATGTAGACTCTAGATTCTTTACTTAATGAGATTCTTCCCTGGGCTCCTTTATGATGCCAATAATACTTGTTGCCAGGCCCTGGCCAGGTGGCTTGGTTGGTGTGTTGTCCCATATACTAAAAGATTGTGCGTTCAGTCCCCGGTCAGGGTACATACAAGAACCAATCAATGGATGCATAAATAAGTGGAACGACAAATTGATATTTTTCACACACACACACACACCCCCACTCATTTCTCTCTAAAAGCAATTTATTTTAAAAAATATTAATAATACTTGTTGCCATTGTCATATCAGTGACAAAATATCAGCCATGTGTTTGACATTTTGGTGGATAAGACTAGCATTGGGGTTTCAATGGCATCTGAGCATCAAATTATGCTGCCACTGCTGCTGTTCAAGACCCTGGCTTCCAGTTTACAGGAACTTAGAGAATGTGGCATTCTTATTAGGAGTTGGCATCTGCACCTCTGCAAACAGTCCCACCATGCTGGATCTCCTTCCTGGGTATTCGCCAAAGTTATTTCGAATGAACATGTTAAGGGGTGATTTTTTTCTTCTATTAACAGCCTTACTTTTAAAGTCACAGACTAAAAATAATTATAATTACATAAATAATGAGCCCTTTCCTCTAGCAATGTATTACCAGATAATATGTATTACTGATACTATAAATAAACCACTTGTCCTTACTATATTGACATAAAGTTAGCAAATAACCCATCATTCAGCACCAATCTTTCCCTTTTTTTCTTCCACTTTTTCCCCATTATCTGTAATACACTCAAACACAATTTTCCAAGAATTATATGAAAAGAA